ATTAAATACTGCATATAGATTTAACACTATCAGACTTTGCAAAATTTGGATTAAATATTCCGACTAATTCCCAAGTTCAAATTAACGAAATAATAACCAGAAAAAGAAATCTACACATCAATTCAAACCACAGATCAGAAAATTGGTCATAAATCCTCACAGTTTCTAAAAGAAACTTCCATCCATTTAAATTGTCATTAAAGGCGTGCAAGATGAAATTATAAAGAAATGCAAGGTTCTGAATCGGAGGCTCAAGAGGGAGATATTGACGTGTCAACCCCACACTGGCCACCTGTCAAACAGTGTGACCCACAATACCAATACGTCCAGGTAGAATTTATGGTAAATAAATAAAGAGTAATCCCAGAAAACAAACAAGTCATTGTTACTTTCCACTGGAATCCTATCAAGCCCAATTGTCTGTTTAATCAAGCTAAAACTAAGGGAGATAACTTTCAATAAATATTGTTAACGCTCCGAGTTTTCTGAGGCCCAAGTGGGATACTTTTGTTTGAATAGCATTCCCTTCAAATATATACTTAAAATGTAATGAAAATATTAGGTGTATCCTTCTGAAAGCTTATCTTTAAAGTCCCAGAATATCATTTTATCATTCTCCTTTGTAAATCTACCTGAAGATGAATTTAGAGGAGTTTGGGTGGAATAAATTACATGCTTACTAAGTGTTAAATTCCTCATCCCTTGATTGAATTCCGTGTCATCCTCTTGTATACAAAGAAAACACATAATTGCATATCTGAAATAACATTCACACAGGGATTTAATAGCTTGAAGACATTGAGAGGACTATAAAATTGGATCAAGTTATTTAAACCTTAAAGTTACATATTCTACATCTTAATTTTCCCAGGAAAAGATAATGCCACAATGATATTCTGTGTTATTCTTATGGTTTATATGCTGCATCTGAGAGAGAGAGAGAGAGAAAGAGAAAACAAATAGGACTTTTCTTGGCTTTCACCTCAACTTATATTCACAAAGCTTACAAAATAAGTTTCAGTGTGACAACATTTAATTTACTTTTAATAACACTAGTAATGTTGTATTGCTTAGAACATTACCTTCCTTTTTCTAATTCAAGGATAATTTAACATTGTGTTTTAATCAACATATATAACTTAAGTCATATGACAATTGGAGGTATATATAGTCAATTATTTTTACAATGTGTAATAGTTTCCTTTAGAGTAAAATTTATTTACTAATAAAAAAAAAATCAAAAGAAATATACCTGGGTCGAACTTTCATTAAAACAGCAAGCAGTTCATCCAAGTTTTCCACGAGCGTCATCTTTTCTTAAGATAAATACCCCAACTCTTTTATCCAGCTAGTTCCGAACAATTTCTCATGTTCAAAGTCACACTAATTTTATAGCTGATCATTACATATCCTAATACACACGACAAGTGCACAGTAAATATCCGTGATACCCTCTTATAAACTTCACTAATCTCTTAATCCCTTCATGACAACACTAAGTTCTTCTGTGATAAGTGATTGTCCATTAATTATTACATCACATAAGTACATTTAATCTGTGGTCCCAGTCCCCCGTCTGACTACCGCAGAATCAACAAACCGGCCGGTTCTTAAATATAGACCCACCCAGTCGCCATTGAAGTCAGCAATCTTTTGATCTTTTAATTGAGACTCAAGAATTAAATGGAAAAATAGAATTAAAATTTTCTGTCAATAAAAACATTTAAATAGTGGAGATGTACCATACAGGGGATTAAAGGTATATTATCCAATTTAGAACAGTTTCTTGTTAAAACTTGAAATATTGAGACCTCATGTAGGTCACTGTGACAGAATTAGTCATGCAAAGTGTTAATCCCCCTCATTAATCCTTGATTATAATGAGATTATCCTATTTGATTATGGTTCTGCATCTTAAAAGTTAAGGTCTAAAGTCTTGGTAGCATTTTAGGTCAATTTAAGGATAACCTGCACTACCACAATTGATTGTTACAGATTTTCTGCTAACCTCAAATCCCAGAATTCATTACCTGTCAGCTGTTGCTATGGTAAATTCCCTAGTTTATTATCAATCAGCTGTACAATATAACACACCTTACTGCTATTCTGAAATGAAATCTGAATCCAACTGCTTTTTACTGCCATATAATCAATATACATGTACTGGTAGTATTCAGTCTCAAATGAAAGATTCTTAATCTACATTAAAAGGCTTGGTTTTTGAAAACATGTTCTACAATGTCATCAGAAAAAACATCATCTGTCTCTGGAAAAACTATTTGTAGGAACATTCAGCACAACATGACATTACAACCAATGGGAATTGAAAGAGAATACACATGGGAAATTTCAAACTACAAGGCAGGGCCAATTTTTTTTTTATATTCTCATTGGCTTGTCAGGCCATCACTTTAAATGTTGCTGGTCAAAAACTTTGTTTCCAGTTCCAGTTGACCAATAAATTATAGTTTGAATAACAAGTAGTCTCTGCTGTGACCCTTGCTGTACTGTTTTGTAGTTATATTAAGCACCTGGAAATTGATAGTGTTTTATGTAGAAGAATATCACTTATTCATAAATTCATTACATTGTATTTATTAATGTTTTCTAAACTTATACCACATTTGCTGAAATCAAATCAAAACTACCAGTACATGTATAGGAGGAGAAGCATTTTGAAAAACTTTTTGCATATTCTTTTTTTCAGTAGCTATGACAACAATGATACACCTGCATGTATGTAAAATTATAAGCTTTAATTGCATACTTGTCTACCAAGTTTTATTCAAATCAGACCAAAACTGAACAGTTTTAAAAGGATTCTACATATTATTCTATTTTTATTAACCATTGCAATATTCTTCATCAAAATTAAAAACTCTTACACAATATTAGGTATCAAAATACACGTGTTCAATTTTTATTGAAAATTAAAACAAATCTATATAAGGAGTAGTACTTTTGAAAAAATTCCACAGAATTTCTATTTTTAGTAACCATTGTAATGAAGTTTGTAAAAATCAAAAGCAGATAAATAGAATTCTTTATCTTAGTGCAGTCTATTTTTATGTTCCAAATCTTAATATGAGAAATTGGTCCAAAACTGTAGGAGGAGTAGCATAGTGAAAGAATATTACAGAAAAATTTGATATATCGACTTGTGCATCTAAGTGTAGTTACAAAGTCTTTAATATTGAAATCAGACTTAAACTTTTGGAGAAGTAGCAATTTGAGTTTCACAAAAACTTCTAATTTTAGTGGCCATGGCAACTACATTCTTTGAAATCAAAATTTAAAAAAAAAAAAGAATTAAGTATCTTAGTCTACTTGTATACCCAATCTTATTAAATAGGACTTACATTGTAGGAGGTGTAGCATTTTGAAATAATTTCACAGAAATTTTAATTTTAGTAAACATGGCAATATCATTTGTTAGAATCAAAAACTAATATAACAAGATGTGTTTGTGAAACACTGATGCCCCCGTATGGCAGCTTATGGCGAAGGTTAAAGTTTCTCAAATGCAAAAGATAAAAAAAGTTAAATTTGAAAGCCCTAGCTGCAACTGTTCAGAAGTTATGGCCAAGGTTAAATTTTTTTAAAAGTAAGTAAAACATCAAGGTCAAGGTCAAAGTTGTTGGTATCCAAAGGAAGGTCTTGTCACAAGGATTACATATGTAAAGTATGAAAGCCCTAGCACCAACCACTCAAAAGTTATGGCCAAGGTTAAAATTTTTCGAAAGTAGGTCAAACTCCTATGTCAAGGTCAAAAGGTCAAAGTGGTTGGTATCCAAAGGAAGGTCTTGTCACAAGGATTACATATGTGAAGTATGAGAGCCCTAGCACCAACCATTTAAAAGTTATGGTCAAGGTTAAAGTTTTTCGAAAGTAGGTCAAACTCCTAGGTCAAGGTCAAAAGGTCAAAGTGGTTGGTATCTAAAGGAAGGTCTTGTCACAAGGATTACATATGTGAAGTATGAGAGCCCTAGCACCAACCATTCAAAAGTTATGGTCAAGGTTAAAGTTTTTCGAAAGTAGGTCAAACTCCTAGGTCAAGGTCAAAGTGGTTGGTATCCAAAAGAAGGTCTTGTCACAAGGATTACATATGTGAAGTATGAAAGCCCTAGCTCTAACCGTTCAAAAGTTATGGCCAAGATTAAAGTTTTTCAAAAGTAGGTCAAACTCCTAGGTCAAGGTCAAAAGGTCAAAGAGGTTGATATCCAGAGGAAGGTATTGTCACAAGGAATACACATGTGAAGTTTGAAACCCCAAGCACCAACTGTTCAGAAGTTATGGCCAAGGTTAAAGTTTTTCAAAAGTAGGTCAAACTCCAAGGTCAAGGTCAAAAGGTCAAAGTTGTTGGTATCCAAAGGAAGGCCTTGTCACAGAGAATACACAAGTGAAGTTTGAAACCCCAAGCACCAACTGTTCAGAAGTTATGGCCAAGGTTAAAGTCTCATAAAATTTTGCAGAAGTGGGTCAAACTCCAAGGTCAAGGTCAAAAGGTCAAATATGATGGTACCCAAAGAAAGGTCTTGTCACAAGGAATACACATGTGAAATATGAAAGTCATAGCTCCAACCAATCAAAAGTTATGGGCAAGGTTAAAGTTGACAACAGACAGACAAACAGATAAACAGACAAACAGATACACAAACAAACAGATAAACAGACAAACAGACAGACAGGACAAAAACAATATACCCCCGGGATCTTTCGATCTGGGGCATAAAAATTATCTATCTTAGTGTAGCCTACTTGTTTATTAAGGCTTGTTGAAATTAGACCAAAATTGTAGGAGAAGTGGCATAGCAAATTGTTTTCAGACAGACAGACAAACTGACACCTTTCCATAGCAAAAGCTTTTGTTTATTTTTGTCCAGTAGAGCTCATCACTTGTTAGTCCTTTTCACCAGTGTGTTTACAAAGCACTGGTCCAACTTCAAAATTGAATAAGCTGCAAACACTTCTTAACTACAATCTATTTTCAGCCTACTTACTTTTTCATCTTTTTGGCACTATATTTGACAGCAAAAGCAGAGGCAAAAAGTTTATCTGGCTCTCCCTCATACTGACTAAACATGGTCTTCTGGAAATGCTGCAAAGTTCAAAATCAAGTATGTAAAAAAAAAAAATCATAAAAGCTAGTGTCATTTCATACATGGTGCTTGCTTGATCTAAAATGTTGCCAAGTAAACTATCAAAAATTATTTTGCCCTAGTAAGGAACTGCTATTCTAAGCATAATCCATGTATTTAGCAGTCTTGAAGTCTTTAATACATATCTACTTTCTTAACTGATATTTATATGCTTTTTAGCATTTTGTGATCATACATTTGAAAACAGCATTATTTTTAATTCATAATGAAAACTGAAATCATTTTGTTTATGTTGAGCACGAGTATTTGCTATAACTGGGGTACTGTTGGGATTGATGTGTTATAATATACTAAGAGAAATAAATACTTAATCATATCAAATCACCATTGATATATACCTGCAGCATTCCTTCCATATCCATAGACAGGAGTTCCTCTTGACTAGTTTGTAGTATTGCAATTCCCACGCGAAATATCACATCCATACCCTACATAACAAAATATGTAGCTTCAGTTGATAACTTTAAAATTAAAAGTAAGCAAAGAAATTTACTTGTAAAAAGTATATACATCAAGTTAATTTATGTTTACATATCCTACATTTTGCCAGTAAAATGGCGCTTCTTAGTACCAAGATACAGTGCACTATACATGCATACCACCTATACAATACTAGAGAAAACAGGCCTCTAAGAGTTATTTCCCTTGGCATAGAGTAAAAACTTACCTCAGAAATAAATAGATCCATGATGCGACATGAAAGAGACAGCGAAAATGAGGTGGCAAACAGTGTTAAGAACCATGATGATGCGTACATGGACGTGTGAAAGCCCTGAGACTGGAAGTGAAGGTACAGGTCTGGTAACAGCTCCTACAAGACAATTGTATAGATATTACATGTATACTTTGAACGAAAATAAATGAAACTTCTTTAAACATACCTACAAGTTTACCAAATCTAAATATAAAACAATAGGTATTTGAGACATACAAGCACTTTTGACCTGATTGATGTACCGTAAATCTTCACCTTTTTTTGGGGGGGGGGGGTCAGACACTAGTAGCTGGTGCAAGTCTCTCTATTTTAACATTTCGTTACTATATGCAATAAATATTTGTAACTTTTAAAAATTACCTGTATAAGACACTCCAGTTTATACATACACAGGCCGAGTTCAGCCATGCTAGGTTTAAATAACTCTCTGAGACGATAGTCCTGCATTAACTTAATAAGGACGGCAAAAGCTTCTTCCTCTGGCATCTATCAAAGGACAGAACTCTTAAAATAATTCATTTATATTAATAATAAATTAGAGCTATTTTCATTCCACATGAAGCAAATACACAAATTAGTCTCAATCATGTGCACTTTTCAACAGGTTCAATTTATTTTTGGTATAAAATCTACTTCAATAAAATCTATAGAAATGCTATCATATAAAAGCTCATAATTTACTTTTACTTTTGAAGTTCAAAATTAATCTATTTTTATGATTAAGTTCCTTAATGATTTTTTTTTTAATTTTTAAACTTGTATTTTAATATGTACACTTTCACATATATCTCAGTATTCCTGCCTTTTCCTGTATTACTGACCTGCATAAGTAGAAGGCCCACTATAAATCCACTTCCCTGGCAATAACCAACTTCCCTGTCATGTAGGGAATATGCCTAGAATTCACAAGAGGAACATATAATTAATAAAATGCAGATAATTACAAAATTCATTTTAATTAAAGTAAAATAAATGCTTCGTCTCAAAAAATAAGTATATATTACATGTTTTAAAGATTACAAGATTTTTTTTATGATTTAATACTGAAAAATTTTAGTCCCTTCTTTAAATGAGTAGTGGGAGATCTTCAGAATACATACATGTATATGGACTATTTTGTCTATAGTCACAGGTATAACAAATCAGTTATATAAATGCAGTTGACTTTTAAATACTTTTCTTAATCATAGACTCCATCCTCACAATGTCAGGGGTCCTGTGTCAACTCGTTGCCATGGGATCCCTGACAAATTTCACTCAGTTTTTTTCAAGCTTGCTTCATTCATTAAGAAGCACCAATCAAATTGAAGTAAACAGATAATGTAAACAGAAATTAAAGAAATCAGGTGACACCTAAAATGCAAGTTACATTGTTTATCACCAAAAGGCTTAATGTGATTAGTTGTGAGATAAGAAAAACAATCAAGATTTGTAATTTGTAATTTTCCTAAGAGACCTTGCAACAGTCAGCCCGTAAGATATCAAATGAAATTTGTCAGGGGTCCCACGGCAACGAGTTTGACACAGAACCCCTGATGTGAAGAATCATAGACTCAAACCCACCTTCATAACATTAAACAAACTCTCTTGACCCAGTCCATCCTTCTCCTTGAAGAAGTCGTGGTCCGGAAAAGTGCGGGCTATGTCCCTCCTAATGAGTTTCTCACTAGGGGAGGTTTGTTTAAGGTACTCCACATACTGTTGTTTGTGGGGGGAGTCATGAACTCCCAGTAACAGCTGCCAGGCCAGGCCTCGAAAGTGATGAGGGATCCCTCTCCTTACCAACTCCTGGGTAGAGAAAGAAATTTATACTCAGTCAACTGCGAGGAATCTTAAAACAGTTTTTAATATTTCAACTTAAAAAATGTATTGAAAAAAAATGATTATTTTCTAGATACAGTTAAATTCATAATATCAGGGTTGGGTTGGTAAAAGAAATTTGGAGTTGCAAAAAAAACCTTCTACATATGTTTTGTCCAAAGTGATGGATTATGGACAGAAAAAACAGTTTTGCTGTCCCAAAGATCTTGGGAACAAATGCTTTTTTAAGTACAACATTCATTTAATAAGAAAATAAACATGAATGGGCATTACAAAAAACAAAAGTAAGGTCTTGATTTATTGCAAATTTGTATTACAATGTCCTCTATAACGTATGTTATCTTTCAGTATTATTGTTAACTTACCTCAGAACAACGTGGGCAGATGTGTTATGACACTTGTTAATTTGTCAATGTGTGTTTTTTCATGTTAACTAAATAATGATCCTGTCATCTGTGTACTACAGTTTTGGGGCATAACCTACCTATTTGTTATTTTGCTTAAACAAATATTACCATTGCACTGCCAGTTTTGCTTATGATTTTTTTTCATCTGGAAAATAACTGAAGATTTCTATGGGATAGCTTAATTTTCAAAAACCACATTAAATTTCATTTTTTCGAAGAATTTTGTTGGACAATAAAGTTGATTCAATATCATATTCTAATTCATTTATGTTACTTTAACATTAAAATTAAAAGAATTTGAGAATTCTTAAGCTATTCAGCACTATCTGTTTTCAAATACAAGATGTATTGTACATTTCAGTTTCTTTAAAATGACCCATAGATCATCTTTTTTAAGACAATTCCTCAGTATTTCCTAATGTTAAGATTTTTACTTTGACTCTAAAAGACAACAATATGATCCAACTCTGCAGATACATGTATCTTACATGTATAATTTTATATATCATGGCTGTGTTGTAAACACTACACAAGTGATTTTGATTTAGTGCAAGAATGTGCGAACAATGTATATAGATCTATCCTAATGAATTCAAGTTTGGCCACACCACCCTGAGACACCTGTCATCCTGTGATTTAGAGTTCAATCAAGCCTGGATAAATTAATTAACATCAATCACTCCTGGCCCCTGTCCCATACCTTGATGAGTGAAGTCTTCTTTCTTGCACTGTCCCAGTCATTGACAAGTTTCCCCCATATTTCCCAAACATTTCCTGTTGCAGTGTCTACAAAAAAAAATTAATAATATTAATAAGATTAAACAGCTGGTAAGAGGGAAAAAAGATTAACATAACTCAATATTTTGGACACATATTCTTCCTTCTCTTTGTGTGTGTGTGTTTTTTTAAGTACAACATAAATACTTCAGTCTATGCAATGGAAAAATGTTTTGTATGCATTGAGTACATAGGTATTTTGTGGTGACAATTTTGGGGTTTACATAATACACTCTATATAAAAGGAGTTCAATTAGGAAAGCTGCTTGAGGAATGAGGCTGGGGTGCTAACTGAATGGCCGTGGGTTAAGGAACAAAATAAAACAAGACTACCTGGTGGTGTTTTTCGCAACTGTTCTGGTCTTTTTGCTAGAAGTCAAAAAAATGTCACTGTGACAGAATCTGTGTATGGAACTTGACCCATAATGCATAAAAAAATACATGTAGTAAAAAGAGATAGCGAGCACATTTGCACGTTTACTGGGTAAATTTATTCTTGATTGAGGGATGTACATTTGAACAACAGTTGTATGATTATTATTTCAATTATTAAAACTCTTGCCCACAATTTTCCTCGTTTTTAAGAGGAAACAAAAACGTACTATGCATAGGAATGATAAACAGTATCTAGGAAACTTAAATACTTAACATATACATGTACTTCCTTTGGTATTAATAAATCCAGGCTCTGAAAATATTTCTAAACAATATCATATTTCTTTTCCATATCTCACCTATCCCAGAATCCTCTTGGTCTTCTACAGATACGGTGCTTGCCGATGTCAAGTTATTCAACAGTTTTTCGAACGATTTTTTGCGCTTAGGTTTTAATTTATGCATAATCCATAGAACAGTGTCATTCTACGCATATGACATGCTCCAGAAAGGAGCCATCTTGTGTCTGTTTTTAAGGTGACAATACACAATCCAGCCTTGACAACAAATATTGTTCTTCCTGCAATTTACTTCAAATATTTTACAAAAATACTTCCCTTCCCTATCAGATCACGACCAGGGCTATGATCTGCAAACAATAATTGATCCATACATAAACTGCTAAGTATTTACTTCAATCAAAATTTATCATAAATAACAGGAAATACCCACTTTTGAATAGGAAATAAAATCTAAATATATATTCTAAATCTACATTATACATTTCCATATATCATTTAATTTACAAATAGACCAAATTCACTAGCTATTTGATGTTTAATTTCCAACCTTGTCAGAAAATAAATTCAATTTTGGACTTGCACGGTCAGGGTAAGCTAAGTTTCTTTGATTTATGAATAAAAAAAATTCTATATTATAATCAGCACCTGATGCTTTAACTCATTTTGCTTCTCAATGTTGGTTCATTAATCTAACCATATAAACCTTAATTTGTCCTTACATGTATCAAACAGCTACAAGTATTCCACATGTCATATATATCACACTGATTAAATCTAACTGTGCATCATTAATTTAAATCAATCATTACTATATAAATTTAGTGTAATCTATATGCTAAGGAGTCAAAAGAATGGGAATTTTAAAACCAATAAAGTCATATACTCCCATCCTTCTACAAATCGTAGCCCCACAATGCAGCCCCACAAATTACACAGAGTCTAGATATGTAGTATACCAGTATTACATGTATATACATGTATTAGGGATGGCAATTTGTAACCGGTTAACCGATTACTCGGTCAGAACTATGGTAATCGGTTAGAAAATTTGTAATTGGTTAGTTGGAAAAAATAAAATATATGTAAATATGAAGGCAATATTCTAACAATTCTTTCTTAAAAAATGAAACTTCTGCATAAACATTGATAATTTAGCGTTTTCTAATATCTGTTTAAGCTTATTTGGAGGTAACTATTGGTTTCCTGATTAAGATCGCAAAATAATTGGTCAGTTTGTGAGTGTTAATTACTGTATAAACAACGTGTCGTTACCCAAACCATCCTCAATGATATGAAACAAATTGCTGTTTGCTAACTATTGTTTGCAGTTATCTATCAAATTATATTATTACACAAACATTGTAAATTTGAAAGTTCAGGCTTAATTTTGATTATGGCAATGATGCAGAATGAACTTGTGTGACATCTGCTGTGGAAAATTATCAATGTCTGATTTCTCAGGCATGTTTCATGGTGTTCTTTTTTTTCTTGTCAATTGAAATTGAAATAAAATATATGTACATCTAGTTTCCTGATCAAGATAAACAGAATTTTTCTAACATCTAACTATAAGTAGAGCTACTTGAAAAAAAATCAAGAAAATGTGTATTTTGATACGATTAACCGGTTAATCAGTCGGATCGTCTTGCGATTAACTAATTAGCAATTCTGTATTCGATTGCCATCCCTAGTATATATCATCTTATTTAACCATTCAACAGAGAATTTTTCAGGGTTTCTTTTTAAATTTACATTTCTAAGTTTTATACTTAAACGCCATACATAAATATGGCCTTAAAGCCACAAATTTTCACATTTATCTCCCTCTAAATCACCCTAGAGACAAACACTTTAAATTTGCCTTTTTTAGACAAGTCATTAAATATATCAATTTAGACACAGAGGGTATGCTGTACCTCACTAAAGTCATAATTTTGTGGTATTAATTTATACACAGTCAGATTTTAATTTTGCCACAATGTGTACTAACAATCTTTCACCAGGTTCTAAGATGCTGCTATTGCAAGTTTACTTAACTTCATGTAAGTGTAGCTGCTTACCCTGTTGTTTGGCTTTTATAAAGACTACCAAGTACCACTGAATGTATTCTGTGATTAGACTATATGTATGTGCAACATATGTTGTATAAATATATCTTATTTTTTATACAGTGTATGTTAGCAGTTAGGCACAGATTATTCTATTCAGGAGTACATACTGTTGCCTTGATGTAGATATTATACAGTTGTACTGTATACTGTTACTGTACATACAATATACAGTTCATTACTGTTTTTACATTCATATCTACATAACATTTGGCATTTTTGTAGATGTTATTGTATGTTCATGTACTTTGTTCAAATCCAGTGGTGGATCCAGGAATCTTGAAAAGGGGGGGGGGGGGAGAGAGAGAGGGGGTGACCAGTTTGGGGTCGCGGTAGGGGCCCACAGCCACACCAAAAAAAATTGAATTTTTAAATCTTATGTATATTTTGGACACAAGGGGGGGGGGGGGGGGGGGGGGGGGGACCTGGGTCCCCCTCTAAATCCGCCATTGAAATGATACTGTTGTCTGGTTTCTCATCAGGTATACAATGTACACAGCTTCTATATATTTTTTCCTGGTTTCTCTAGATAATATTGTATGAATGCCATTGTTCATGTAATATATGTACAGTTGGCTGTTTCTCTATATTTCTACTGGTATATATTATTGTTTTTTGTACACATTATATGTGCAGTTTTCTGCTTTCTCTATAGATCTATATCACTGTACATATTTCTTTACATTGTACATACTATTGTCTGGTTCCTCAGTGGATTGCTGGTTGCTGTAATGACTGTTAGATGATGTACTGGACACCACACTGGACCCTGACCCCTTTCTGGAGTGACTGGGGGTTGGAGAGGGGGCAACATTGAGGCTCACCAGGGATTTTTCATCTGCCTCCAGTAATCTAAAACACAAATTAGAATATATTATTCATATCTGGTCACAGATCATCTCTTAAATTGATTTCCCCATCTTCTCATGGTTATATAGCTTTTGGCTCCCATACATAATGTTTCCTAGAATTTGATAAGGTGAAAAAACATATAACTAATATATCTGACTTGCTTTACTAAAAATGATTAATGTATATCTACTTTTTTGGCTCTAAACAATCAACTGGTAAGCCACATTTTTAGTACAATATGGACATTTATGGACCACGCTTGTAACAAGTTTCTAGACCATATTTCTCGTCGTATTTCACTCATTAAGGACTTTAGATTGGTTATAATTATTGCATAGAGACAAAGGAAAGCAGGTCTATAAGCAGTAGATGATTAATAAGTTGGTGACAGCTTAACAATCAACATGGCTTACCTGTTCTTCAATAAAAGAAACATTTCATTTACCACATGCACAAAGCAATATCTGATGTGTTAATGGCAATCTTTTTCATTTACCTTATGTAAATGAATGACAATGCCGGCAATTCATCATTTGTAAAGAGTAATTTCAAGGCTTTTTTTTAACCACAAGATAGAATTTATCCTTACCGTATATAACAATTTGCATTTATGGAAATTTCCCACACAGATGTTTGTAAACATATGGTATGATATACAGACGGAAATGGACATATTATTTTGCTCTGAAAATAATGATTTATAATAACCTTCCCTATATAAAACCTTCACTGTATAACTTGCTGCTAACTCTTTTAACTTTGTTCTCTGGAACAGTAAAGGAAAACAAGCAATATCTAATGAAAAACTGCTTTACATTACCCTCCCCCCCCCAACCCTCCCCCTTTTCAGTTTTAAATATGTATACACAAGTGCCAATAAACTGAGTACATCTCTTATAAATTGAAGACTTAATTAAATATAACAACACAACTTCACTAAATATACTCCCAGAAAACTTCCGAGTTCAAAATTTTTCATATTGTTCTAGTACACCACTTGTACTTCAGCGTAAACAAACAAACAAACAAAAAAAACAACAACCAGCTTCTGTGACTTGAAATCAAAGATAAAATAAAATTCACACTTCCTCTACCTGCCAGATATAACATTCCGACTCCCTCTTACGACATCATTGACAAACTTATTGAAGTTTTCGTTCCATTTATTCTGAAGTCTGTCCACAGTTCTGGGAAACATGACAGAGTATAACTGTATTTGACAGTAAACCCAATGAGGTTTGGACAGGAAATGCAATAGGAACTGGGATTAAGTTGTAGATGTCCGGGAAAAAAGGGGCGGGTTTGTTACTGAATTACTGCTCACATTATAATCAGTTTTCAAGTGTCTACTCATCATCAGTATTTTACAAGTAGTCACACACATACAGTAAATAAAGTTAACATTCTAATGAGAAGGGGCTTCTAGCTTGGGTTATGAAGAGCAAACTAATATACTTGGTATTCCTATTTGCTAGCGCTGAAAATATGTATAATTGCATATCAAAAATTTACAAAAACTTCAAACAGGGAATTTTAAAACTTGATTTAAAAATGTAAACATAGAAATGGCAAAAGATTAATGATAATTTCTGGCATTAATGAAATATGCCTCTGACATAATGACTTGTCGACCACCCTCCCAACCTTCTTTATGCTAAATATTCTATTAATGGTAAGCTGGCCTTCATAGATCAGTGTTTCAGCTAAGTTGTTCTTAGAGCTAGATATCAACTCTGTCCAGCTGATATTCAATTCAGCTTAAAACATGCAGTACTAAATTAGCAAGTATAGGCAGTATAAGTACAAACTATAGTATTATAAGCAAGAAATGACCTTAACCTTTTCTTGGTGAAGCTATCAGAATTAAAGATGTATGATATGGATGCAAATAAGCTTCAAATTTATCCATCTCATTTTCTCTTGTCTCTTCCATTTGCATATAGTTCAAGGTTTTCTGAGAGAGAGTACAGTACATCTGTGGAAGTTAACCTAGAATGTCTTCAGAATCATTGAACAGTTTCATGCACATGATCCTCTCACTAACCCCCAACCCCAACCCCCCATTCAAACCCATCCCTCATTCGTTCCTTCATAAGGTAAAGTCTCTCTCAATGAAATATTTTCAGATATATTAATTATCAGATTCCATACTTCACAAACAATACATGCCTGTGCAAAAACAATATCAATACCCCATTAACCATACCATCAAAGAATAGGATCCATATACCATTACTGAACTAATTATATCTAGTGCACAAAATAGATTTTTTTTCCTTCATGTAGCTAGGCATGTTGATTTAAAAAAAAAAGTGCAACATCAAGCCTGTGAAATTCCACAGGATCAATTAGAATAACAAAATTTTGAATTCCTTACTTATTGGCCTGCTCTAGCTTGGCTAGAAGCTCTGCATGTTCATCTTCCTCCTGAGCACTCTGTCCTTTGGGTTTTGAGGACACCTCGGGGATGTCGGTTTTTGAGGAGACGGTTGCATCGGAAACCCCAGACTCTGAGGAGGACACAGGGACATCAGTTGTGGACATTGAGACAATCTAGCCTCTGTGTATTCTCATTCTGTGCTCATGATTAGCCCTGCAGTCTACAAGACAAAACAAGGTGTCAGTACCCACCAGGCGTAAACATTATATTCCCACACTTCATTACTGTGATCAATATCTATCTATGGAACTGTCAACTATAAGCAATAATCTAAAAGCAATCCACGTTCTCAGTGTAATACACTATGGAATCTATATTCAAAATGTGGACTGAATTCCACTTTGTGTAAATTTTTAATGTAGAAACCTTCAATGTGTAAAGCAAAATAACCAAGGACCAGCAATTAAACAAATACAGAGTTTTCTATGTCAGTGTACATTAACATCCCATAACAATCGTCTAAAAAGAAATTGTTAGAAAAATCCATTCCTTTTAAGCAAATGTCAAATTAATTGTCAATTAATGTGTCAATGAATACAATGAATTGTTAAAAATTCACATATAAAATTCTTGACTACCACAAAAACCCTTAAAAAATAACCTGCCAAACAGAGTCAGTCAAGTATATGCTCAAGCATTTTGTGACTAATTTGTCCGAGCCATATTGGGTCACACTGTTGCTATCCCTGGGCTCATTCCTGAATTAACTGGGGGCATTTTAGATTGGTAACTGGTACAGACATGGAAAATACACATAAATACACATAAAACCCCATCTTATCTCCACAGTGACATGCTTCATCCTTATCATGAGAAAGTCAGTGTCTGATAATTCGTCATGAATCATCACACACTTTTGATTTAGCTTGAAACTTTACTGCCGGTACAACTGCAGAGATTTACGTAGCTGCCAATATTTAACCACTTAATAAAATGACTTTCTGTTTTTCTATCAAAAAGAAAAGCAATATGAAATGCAGGTTTTAGTGATGATTTGAAAGTAAATTGATGGCAGTACAAACATTTACTTGTGCCATACCTACCTTAATCGCACATGCATCGTTCTTAATCACTTAGTACAACATATTACTACAATGTATAGCTTCCGTCGTCTTGCATAAAACCACAATATTAACCTTGTATCATATATTAGGCTGTACATATATGCACTTTACTCACCTTTCATAAAAAGACTGTCAATAGTGCCTACCAGATAGTTCCCTTGGTTTTTTTTTTCTTACAGAGTGAAAACTACATGAAACTGACATCAACTTACAAATTCTTTTGAAAAATCTTCCAATAATCCCAAGACAAGTATGATGTAATGCACACTTGTATCTGCAGATACAACACAAGATCTTGAAGAAAATTGGTAATAAATCCGCCCGAAAAACAAAATGTTTTTACTGCTCATTCATCAGTCTGAACCAATCGTCACTTTTTAACTTTTTCTGTCACTCTCTCATTCACCTACATGAGTTCATACCAGGATGAAGTAACCTTTACGTCTCCCGTAGTGTGACTTGTCAATTTCTTGTGGCCCCCAGCTAGTTATCGCAACAGTCACTCGTGCAATGGCTTTTACCTATAGAATGTCATAGCTTTTGACTGTGCCCATATCATATATAAGTTCCTTATTCTTCTTAAAATGGTGTTGTAAAAAATTGTATCTATTTATTAAGGAAGTATTAGCTTTCAGTGAATCTCTTTCTTACACTATATCACTGTCTTAACACTTGAAGCATGTCATATAATGACAGAATATATAAATCATATGGTTTGTGCTTTGACCACACATTAAAACTTTTTAAGTTTAAATCATTTATGTTTTATTAAGCTGTTTCTTTTATGACTTAAACCCTCATAGCTGGAAATTATCTATTGCAGGCAGAGTTCCTCTCCTTTACATCTAAAAATTCATCTTAAATGCTAGCTTTTCAAATACCCGGTATAATCTTACAGTGTTGTAAGCAACAGGAAAAATATTTGGTAACACTTATGCTAAAAAATATGAATACTGCTTAACAATGTAACTATACTTATACCAAATGATAGGTTAAATGCATACATGTACTGTAATTCTTTAACTATATAGTACATGCTACATATAAACAATACTGGTACATGGAAAATATAATTGTGGCTTACAATGGCCATCTGTGTGGCCAAGGGCTATAAAGGTTTGATTTAAAAATCAGATTAACACTTCTGGATATTTAATCTCTAATCTAGTACATGTATATTTACATGAAATGATTTCCTAAGTGCAGGGTAACAAAAGTATTTAAGTCTATCAGCATGCTTAATACTATACAACTAAAACTATATACATTATGATAAAAAAAATAGCACTAAAACAATCTAAATTGACAAACTTCTCATCCCAGAGTGAGTCGGAATAATTGATCTTCTTAGTTCTATCGATAAAATATTCACTAACTTTCCTGCAAATGATAAGGCCAACTTTAAAATAATGTTTACTTGCCATCTTCCAACTCTGGATGAGAAAATTGAGTCAGTAGGTAGGTGAGAAATTTTTTATTCAGAGAAAATTTCAAAATCAATGCTGAATTTTCAAAATCTATTTTCCGGAATGCATAAAAAAAAAAATTGCTTCCTGGAGATTAAAAAAGTTTTGAGTCGGGCCATTTGTAGCCAGTCGGTCGGTAGAGGGCAACCAAACAAATTTTTAAAGCCATCTAACTTACAATAATTTACCATGTTAGATTCCTTATATATGTGCTCATTCAGATCATATTCTTAGATAGATAGATAGATAGATAGATAGATAGATAGATAGATAGATAGATAGATAGATAGATAGATAGATAGATAGATAGATAGAGAGAGAGAGAGATAGAGAGAGAGATAGATAGATAGATAGATAGATAGACAGACAGACAGACAGACAGACAGACAGACAGACAGACAGACAGACAGACAGATAGATAGATAGATAGATAGATAGATAGATAGATAGATTCATGAGTGCAAGTGAGAAAACATTGAATGAAATGACATGATTATGAATAGACTCAAATGCATGATTATACAAAATGAAATCAAGGACTATCCCTTGACCTTTAAAGTGCATAAATTACTGAATAGTAACAAACTACAGGATTAATTGATATCCTTGAATGATTAGGATGTAATGTAATAAACATGATCATTATTACTTTGTAAAAATAAGAAATAGTAATTATACAATAAATATTACATAGAAGAATCTAGCCAAGTAATGTACATAATTCTATGATTCTCTGAATAAAAATTGTAGATCTTGAATATAGAGATTTTTTATGATACAATAATTCTGCATCGGATCCATTTTTTTTAACTTAATACATTATCATGAAAATTATAAAAAAAAAAAAATTAAAAAAATGAAATAAAACCTTTAAATCCTATTTATAAATAAATTATTTATTAAATTTTATGTTCTTTCAATGTAACTAATGTAATACTGTTCTGGTTTAAGCCATGGATATCAGCCTGGATAGCTAAATCACGTACAGTACATGGAGAGCACCTGACTAGTGATGCAGGGGTAGCTCAGTTGGTAGAGCACCTTACTGTCCTTAGTGATGCAGGGGTCACGGGTTCGATTCCCGGTCTTGCCATACATTTTCTCCTTTCCCCCCATTAATTTGCCCATTTTGCTTTTGTATATCAATGTATACTTTTAAAACTATTTTATAACAGAACCAATTAAAATTTTTAAACTTCTGACTGAAATATAAAACAAATAAAATAGAAGTTTTAAGAATGGTGTCAGGTTAGGGACATGTACATTCTAGCAGATAAACCTGTTCGCCATTTTCACAGTATTTGTGCTAATTGTGTTGCACTTGGACCAAAAAATAAAGTCAAACAGCACATTATTGACATGTTTCCTAGAAAGTACAATACCTATGCAAATGAGTCCCAAATTTTTTTATATAAGCATTCTTAAGAAAAAGTGAAATAAAAGAGAAATCTCATGGTTCTCTTTGAAAACAAAAATTTTATTCACATTAATGACTTGCTAATTTTTTTGCCTAATTTATTTCCCTTCCTTAAGTTTATCTACCTTTACAATCACACATAAGACCTATATAATTATCATGTGAAAATTAAAATGCATACTTCTAAATTTCAAAAACATTTGTCATAACACCCTGGATATCTTCGTTTGTATCTTGTCTAGCTTTGAAAATGCATAGCATTTTTGTTGCGGACACTACAAGTAACCATAAGAATAATCTTTTGTCATTTTTATAAAAATAATTGTTGATAAATGTTCATTTCTAGGCTGAATTATATACCACAGGATCAACTCTTGAAAACGTATCATATAAAAAGATGCAAAATGTGGTTTATTGAGATGAAAATAACAACTTAACAAGGACCATTAATTATTTCTTGATGTATAATTGTTTTGCAGTTTTAAAAAATGTCAATGATTTTACTTATTTTAATACAATTAAAGAAGTTATAACAAATAGTTTTATAGATAAATTCAATGAATTAAAGAATTTACTGAGGCATCCATAATTTTTTTTCAGTATTGAAATTGTTGCGGACACTACAATATATTGAAATATTGCTATATGACACCACATTAGGTTTTAATGGAGTAAACTGAAAATTGTAATCTCTAACTAGTTTTATATGTACAGTAAATGGTGTTATATTATAGGGAAATAAAAAAGGCTAGTCAAAAATGGCTTTCCGGCCTGGAAAATAAAACCCATATATATACCAGTAAGTTTGAAGTGTTATATCCATTCTTGTACAAAAATCACCATTTGTTATCTTAATCCAGTTAACTAATTGTATTATCAAAGGAGCAAAATATCAGAGAAATCTTTTACATTTCAAAAATATTTAATGAAATAAAAAAGTGAAAACAATAAATGAATGTGGTATATAGTTATTACTGTAGTGTCCGCAACACAACTGTATTAATTAGAACTACACTTATTAATTAACAATTAACATCTTAATATATTCTTTAGTTTCCACTTATTCAGTTTTAATATACCACATGAAAATTAACTTTCAATATATAACATAAGACTGACAATTGAAAGATTTTGAATATTATGTATAAACAAGTCGTTATGGGTGTTATTCAAAGTATGAAGTTATAGTTCCATTAAGTTTTGTAACCTTACATATTTGTATTGAATATTTGGACAATTATAGTGATGATCAATTGAAATCATGTTACATTTCTCTGAAGAAACTGTGAATTTAAAAAGCTGTTGCGGACTCTACAGCGTTGCGGACTCTACAAAAAATTATGTTGTATCTGTTGACATTGTACAAAATAAATAAATGAAGATATGTACACTATCTTACTCCAATATATCATAAATAATAATCAGAAATAAAACTGTTCAACTGAAACTTACAGAACCAGCATTATATGCTTCTATAAGAAAGTTAGTATCACTGTCTTCTGTCTCACTTTCACAGGAAGTCGATTGAACGCCCTTTGACCCTGACCGCAAAGTGTAAACAAAAATAAAAACTTCTGATAAATGATTTTTTTTAAAAATGAATTAATCATTCTGGAAACAAAGTTTCAACGATATGGATGAAATTAAACACAAATAATGTGATGCAGAAAAAAACATATATTGTGATATTCTTCATCAGCAAAACGATTTCTCTCATTACAACTACACTGTCTCTTTTGCATTTCAATTAAAGCTTCGTTTTGACGCCGACGAAAGAAAAAAAGACAGCATGGCGGACGATTTACCAGAAGGATGGGAAAGGAAAATGAGCCGGTCTGCCGGTAAGTGATTGTCTTAAGTTGAGTACAACATAAAACAAGGTTTAAAAGGTGTTAAAATATTTTCTCTACCTGTAGTCGACATGCCATTTTTAAAGGAAGGTAGGGAAGAGGTATATTTTCTGCATCCAATGGTCTGCAATGGTCATGTTGGTATCAGAGTAAATCTTTGGTTCTCCAGTTTCATGACATTTAAACAATGAACAGCATATCAGGGATGTGGGAAACCATCATGTGGCGTCCCAAATCGAATGCGTAGCGAGGAACGGGAGAGGGCCAAGCCTGTTAAAGAGTATTTCACCCTCCCCTTTGTTGTTAGCTCAGGCAGTGTCTATATACACGACCGTCGTGCACTTACTTTTTCATCGGCTATTCGCACGACCGTCGTGTATATAATTTTTCAATGACTTTTTGCACGACCGTCGTGTATATGATTTTTCATTGACTATTTGCACAACCGTCGTTAGTTAGAATAATCTAACTGTGTCTCGGGACAAGCCCTCACCACAGTTAGAATACGTCCCATATACTTGCAATGTAGCAAATCGGAGTGGATCCACTCTGGAATGATTTTGAAGAATACAAAAGGAGTTGCACTGAAAATAACTACCAAATTAATCATAACAAACCTTTTTGAGATTGTATATGCCTATTAACCCAAAGAATAATCCATATAAATATGAAAATTCAACTCATTTTCTCAACGTTTTTTCCTTGCTTCAAATTTAACGCCATGTTGACATTTGGAACTCTCTGGATTGTTCATAGAAAATGCACAGAGTTCGAGTTATCGCCCATGTTTATTTTGCAACATTGCCAATACATGGAACGAATTCTATCGCTAAACCGGGTCCGTAGGACAATATCATTTTAACGATAGAATGTTCTATCTAAACCGTCGTGTATTGTATTTATTAATAAGCTGTTCGCACGACCATTATCTTTTACATAACACCAACTTATTCTGTCATTCGTTGTTTCGTCACCAGTTAAGTTCGGCACACAGTGATTTAACTGATTTAAGCCTAGGAGCATTTTAGTAAGAAAACATTAGAAAAACTTTTTCATAATGTTAATTTATATGCTAAAGTGACATATATAGATCCAATGGGCTGGTCGGTGTAATGTTAATCTGTTTCTATTAGAACTGCCCTTGTATTTGTATATATACACGTCACTATAACAAAATGTTTACCTACTATTTTGGTAGGCTTGCGGTTTACCCCCTCCACCTCAACCTAATCCGAGATATACGTTTTCCGGGCTTTTTTTAATTTATTTATTTTAGCAATTTTGATATTTGATGAATTAAAAAGAGCCATAGAACATTGGATTATAGCATTTTGCCTACTCTAGTAGTTATTTCTTAAATACACTTTTTAACAAAAATTTTGTCATACAACCTTCGTTATTACACACGTGTAATCTCAAATTAAAAAATAATGATATTCATATGTTAATACATATTGCAGTTCCCTTTTATGATAATTATAAAAATCATCAAGTTTGTATGGAGTATGTGGTAAATATTGAGGTATATCTACCTAAACGATGACAAAGTGTTGACAAAGACCACTCCTAACCAGAAAAACAACATTTGAATAATTTTGTGTATGACTGCACTTTATTTTGGTTAAGGTGAACATTTATATATATTCATTTTTCTTCTCATATTATTTTGAGATTTGGCAATCTGTCTTAAATTTATCTTTCATTATCAATGACTTCGTGGCGCAGTGGTATGATTGCTGAAATGTAAATGTGGTGATTCAAGTTTGACCTCAAGATTTTTCCAGTTGTGCTCTTTTAATTTTTTTTCTCCCATGGGTATTTTTTTATACGTTTTATTTAATACTTTTATAATAAACATAGTTTCAGAGAGTCATAATACAGTCGTTACTCTTTGAAAGTGTGTTGGGAAAAGACAGTACATCTAAACTATTTCATTAAATTTTGCATAACTGCTTGTTTTATTTTTATTGAGTTTCTAAATCTTTTGTTGCAAAATTAGAGTAATTTGAACAAGTAAACTGACTGTTATATGACATACTTGCAACTATGAAAATATAACACTCGTCCGCAAATGATATTACATTAGTTGAAAGTACTGCTCACCTTTAATTATTTACGTCATCAATTCGGTCATCAATATATCATCGAAATTCCATGGCAGATCTGGAATACAACATATGTGTGAGTGCACTGTGTGGTTGAGGGCCGAAAGGGTATATAGGAGGGTATAACCCAGTAATTTAACTTTTACCCACCCCCCTCCTATCATCCCTAGCCAAGTGTGAAAGTTAGTGTCTATCCCTGGTGATCTGCACATCTTCTCTTTTAGAACGGATGTTGAGTGATCAACCCCCTTTCCTATTTTATTTTCATTTGAAATCTTCATTATTATTCTTTTTATTTTATAGATTTGTTTTCTTTTTCTATCACTCAAATAAACTGCTTCATCTACATTTTTATGAAACTGATAGAAATTATATTACAATTCGGTTGAATGTATTCTTCGGCACACTTGAGTAGCTCATAATATACCCATCCTCAAGCTGGTGCGTCCATATATTTTATACATGTATGTAAAATACATGTAATCAAAATTATCCACAAAAGAAGCTGTACCGTAAAAAGAAAGGGGTGTGAAAGGGAATGGTTGTGGGCCATAATACAGTATTTCATTCAGTTTCGAATAGAAATATGTAAATGAAGTAGTCTGTAAACATCAAGTATGAAAAGAATAGAAATAGAAAGACTTAAAGATGTGAGAGAGAACCATAAAGGGGGCACAATCATGTGTCCCAGTCTAGTCAGACTAAAACTGATGCAATGTGGTATTTATTATCCCCATCCTGTTTCTAAACTTATGTATTTAATTTACAATTCAGATAGGGGATTACCCACGAAAGTTTTTTTTTTAATTTTTATCTGAAGGTGGAGTGTAGATCTTACACAGGTGTCAATCCCTCATGTTTTACATTTTTTTAAATATCAACATAAATGTAATATTCACTATCGTGTGAAACAATCAATTGCTTGCATTTCTATTAAAAAAAAAACTGTCAATGAAAAAAAAGATTAAATGTACACATAAAGCCAGAAACGGGCTCATCTCATCCTCACAATGTCAAAGTTAAGTGATTTTAGAACTTCACACAAATCTGATCTGGATCGGATCTCTTTAAATTATCAATAAGTTTTTATTTTTATTTTACAAAATTCTTCTTAATTTAATGTGTGTAAAAGAAAAGAAATGTCCGTTCATAAAAACATTCATTTAATAATAGTAATTAAATGTCCAAAAAATGTTGACATGAATGTTCATACTGGGGTCAAATTCTATTTACAAACAACGTCGTGTCTTCGAGCACAGGTCGGTCGTGTATATATGCATAATCTGATATCTATTACCGTCGTGTGCATATCTCCGGCAATGTGCGATTGCTATTTGCATGACCGTCGTGTAAATAAACTTTTTTCTTACTTATGTGCACGACGGTCGTGTATATATCTCGGCAATTTACAATAGCTATTCGCACGACTGTCGTGTAAATAGACTTTCTTTTCTATGCACACTACGGTCGTGTATATATCATTGGCCGTTAGCTCACCTGAGCCAAAGGCTCAAGTGAGCTTTTCTGATTAAAGAGTGTCAGGCGTTGTCTGTCCTTTGTTGTCTGTCCTCTATTGTCTGTAAACTTTTCACATTTTCAACTTCTTCTCAAGAATCACTGGGCCAATTTCAACCAACTTGCCACAAAACATCCTTGAGTGAAGGGGATTTAAGTTTGTACAGGGGAAGTGCCACGCTCTCTTTTAAGGAAGCTCTAAACACCGCACTCTAAAGAGTTCTACTTGAAGGGTAGTTTTGTGCAGGTAGAGTGATCTGCCCTTAAAAGTAAGATAGAAAAAATAGTTATTTACAGTTTATTACACAATTTGTAATAGATTAAAATATTCTCAGCATTATATTCGATCAAGTATAAGAAATTGAATTCATTGTTTCCATTTATTTTCCCAATGTATGTAAACAACCATGATTTCTGTTCATGAATTGTCCATTGTCCTTGAACATTTTTCCTGCGGAAATAAGGCAGGTACCCTATGTTGAAAATAAACTAAATAGTTTCAATATGCATACCCTTATATGACATATTTTTCTCCAAGTCGAAAAAGCACTTTTTGTTAGTGTTTAGAGCTTCCTTAAGGGAGAAATTTAAGAATTCGCAAAAATTTGGTGGCATCTTTAAAAAATCTTCTCAAGAACCACTAGGCAAGAAAGATGAAACTTATGTGAAAGCTTCATTACATACTCTAGATTCAAGTTTGTTCATATCATAGTCCCCAGGGGTAGGGCGGGGCCACAAGAGGAGGTTGCATGAAGTTTTACATAGGAATATATAGGAATTGTCTTTAAAAATTTTCTTCTCGAGAACAGCAAAGCCAAGATTAGTCATATTATTGTAGAAGTTTCCTCAGGTAGTGTAAATTCAAGTTTGTTCCAATCATGACCCCTGGGGTCAGGACCACAACAGGGTGTCAAAGTTTACCATAGGAATATTAAGGAAATATCTTTAAAAATATTCTTCTCAAGAACAGCTAAGCCATTATAAGTCATATTAATACTTAGAAGTATCCTCAGGTAGTGTAGATTCAAATTTGTTCAAATCATGACCCACTGGGGGTAGGGCGGACCCACAACAGTGGGTCAAAGTTTTACATAGGAATATTTAGGAAATATCTTTAAATTTTTTTAAAAATCTTCTCAAGAACAACAAAGCCATTTTTAGCCATATTTATACAGAAGCAACCTTAGGTATTCAGGGTTGTCCCTAAGAAATAGGAGGGGACATTAAAAAAGTAGATCTGGGGTCTGGGGTTCCTCCCTTGACAAGGGGTTAAGGGGGAATACCAGAGTAGCTGAGGAATAACGTCATTATAGGCAGGGAAAATCCCTGACGATCCTGGGTATTGTAGAATCAAGTTTGTTCAAATTATGACCCCCAGGGATTGGGGGGGGGGGGGGCACAACAGAGGGTCAAAGTTTTACATAAGAATATATAGGAGTCATCTTGAAAAAAAAAAATCTTCTGCTCAAGAATGGCAAAGCCATGATTAGTCATATTATTATAGAAGCTTCCTCAGGTAGAGTAGATTCAAATTTGTTAAAATTTAGGGTAGGTAGGGTGGGGCCACAATGAGCGATCAGAGTTTTACATAGGAATACATAGCAAAAAATCTTTTAAATTCTTCTGGTCAAGAACAGCAAAACCATGATTAGTAATATTACCCTGAGGTAATGTAAACTGAAGTTTATCCCCCCCCCCCCACCCCATTAACTTTCCAATACTGAACTGATTTCTGCTCTTTCCTAGCCAATGTACTCAGATGAGCGATGTGGCCCATAAGTCTCTTGTTTGTCTTCTGATATCATCCTCAGGGATAAGAAATGCCCAGATTGATGGATTTAGGAAATAATGATATTACGCCAATTGCACAAACTTTTTTCTTTTTTGTTTATGTAACAAAATTTTGTTTTAAAGAGGGAGAGATGAGGTGGACTGTCTGTAATCTCGACGAGATTTGGCGAGACTAAAAATATTGTACTGACGTCTCTTTCCAACTCAGACCAATGACACACAAAGTGAACAAAGGAGATTGTGCCTGATCTTTTACTGCTTGTTTTGATTAAAATGGATTGAATTGAATCCCCTGTCTGCTTCATCTTTTTGCTTTGGACATCCTTTTAACTCTTTGTCACTATAAAACATTTGTTTCTTATCTTCTCAAGGTTTAAACCCAGCAAAAATGTCTGGAGGAAACATATAGTACAGAGTATTTTAAAAAACAAATTTTTAGTCTCAACGAATCTCACTGAGATTACACTGATAGGCAGATTCCATTGCTGGTCAAATAGTTCAGGTGGTGAGAGCACATATTTAAGTTCAAATCTTATGGTCTTGTCTATTACATTTTCTCCTTTTCCCTTTGCATTCATTCTGTGCTATGTTCTCATTGCCCTGGAATGGGTGACAGAACTGAATAAGATCTAGGATGATGTCCAGGGGGATGAAGACATGTAATGGGAGAGGAATAATGCATGTGGTTAGGAACTGCCACAGGTTCAATTGCTGGTGACCAGATAGCTCAGTTAGTTAAAGCACCTGTCCAGAGTTCAGGGGGACAAGGTTTGAGTCCTAGTCTGGTCCTTTGGATTCTCTCCCTTTCTGTTGCAATCATTAGGAATTCCCTTGACTTTGGTGATAAAGAGGGGGAAATATAATGTACTCTGTTCAATGGTCCTATTTAAAGCTAACGGTCATAATTAGTATGTGGTCAAACCTCGTTATCCTGAACTGGATAAGACAAAGGACAAAACATCAAGATATCCAAGTATTTGAGGTAACAGGAGTAAAATACTTCAAGATTAAGTGGTTGGGACTTCCAAATCACTTTGACATATCCATGGTATTCAAGATATCAGTGTTCGAGATAGCGAAGTTTAGCTGTATTCATACAGTAGAGCGATGAAAAATATGCTTAAAAATATAACAAACTCTGACATTGATGGGGCCCTGGAAATCTATTACAGCTGATTCTTAGGAGGTTACTCTTGACATTTTAACCTCCCCCTCCTCCCCCTTTTTTTTTAAAGAAATGATAATAAAATTTTTTTTAAAAATTGCCAAAGAAACAAAGAAAAAAAACAATCGTCTTCAGAGAATGACTTTTTGGCTCACTTCCTTGGTTCATTTTTGTTTAATTTTCTCTCCCTTTCTCCTGAGCTCTTTTGATTATTAGTGTTACAAAATCTTTCTCTCAAGAACTTTAGTGAAAAAAATTAATACTTAATATAATGGATGGTGTAAGTATTAGATAAACAAATTGTAATTAAAGTGAATTCTTAAAGGACTTATCGCATGATTTTTCAAAAATCTTAATTTTATGAAAAATATTAACTACAACCTTGTTTATTAAAATACTGAATACAATAAACGTTGTTGAAAGCGTATTTTAAGAGATATTGAGAGTTGAAATTCAAATACTGCAATATGCATATTTCAGTTTGATTTCGGCGAAATACTGCTCTGACGTCATAGGCGACAATTCAGTGATAGAGAGATGAGAAGTTGCACACTATTTATGGAGTTATTAACGACAAATGCAGTTTAATTATGAAAAATGCTGAAAAAATTAATTCCTAATGTGCTTTTCAATTACTATAGATACATTAACTAGTTCTAAGGTATAAGACTTCTGAGATATTTTCGTTTTTTATTCCAAACATTTAGCATCTGTAGGTCTGATTACGACAATGTTTCGTGATCAGAAAATATTTTTTCCAAGACCGCCATCCGTTACAAAGCATGAAGGCATACTTGCATAGATTAATATTATGTTAAAAATGAAGAATAACAAAGTTATGTAATATTAAATTTGTGAATCGAATAAGTTAATACATGTGATAAGATGACAAATCAAATTGTATTGTGATGGCGAGTTTCTTCATCTTCGCCACATCTCCCTCACTATCGTCGCTGTTATTTTTACAAAGTTAACAGATTTTTTCTTCCTGACAGTTCTAGAATATTAGGTTGGATATTCAAATTTATATCGATAAAATCAGTGATTTGGTTGTCCAAAATGCAGAAAATTCAGGTTGTATCATGTATATTTTAGTAAGATTAACGTGAAGAGCTGATCAGCCATTGTCGCCTTTGATGTCACAGGGTCACATGATCGTTATCTAATTAATTTAGATTTTTAATTCAGGGGTTTTCATTTGAGTAAATAATTGGTAAATTATCGCAGTTTATCTGCAGTAAAAACACAAAATTTATAAACTGTGGTCATAAGGAACGTTTTACGCTTTTAATTTCAAATAATTTAGAAACATGCGATAAGTCCTTTAAGAAGTTATAAAGAGATTACTTTCTTTGTGGGTGCTATCAGTTTTATCATCTAGTAATTCATTTATAATGCAGTGAGACATTGTTTGATTTCTGTTTGAATAGGCAAAGAATATTACTTGAATATTTATACCAAGGAAAGCCAATGGGACCGTCCAACAGCTCCTGCTGAAAAGAGTCCTATGGTTCAGTGTTCACATCTTCTGGTGAAACACAGAGATTCTCGTAGACCATCATCCTGGAGGGAAGAAAACATCACAAGGACCAAAGAAGAAGCATTGAAGATTTTAAAAGGTGAATATTTAACAGTTGAGAATATTTCAGGTAGAGCAATATGGTGGGTATTAGCAATTGTAAATATCATTTGGTCTTGTTTTTTCTGAATTGGCTGGTAATGTGATAGTAAAAGTTGCATTTTAAAGTAGTGAAAGATCCAGGCACTAGGCTCTAGAAAATTGATTCTTGAACAAAGAATAGAAATTCCAAACATTGGGTCATGACTATCAAAGATCAACATGCACTTATGTTATGTTGCTATTTAAACTATTTTTTGTCAAATGACAGCCCGTTTTCTTCCTTGTTTAATTAGATTCACGGGAAATGGATACCTTCATGTCCAATAAACCAATTAAGGAAGATTTAATTTATATATTATGTATATTACTTCTACTATATGTAAATTAAAAGAAAGGGAAAGTTTTCCTTAATTTTTTTTTCCAAGGTCATCTTAGTAACTAGGGTTTATCTATTGCTATCCATGATTTAATCCATGCAAATTTGAAAACATTTAAAACTTCCTCTCATGATCTAGCAGGCTGTTTTCAACCAAACTCTGAAACTATTATAGCATGAAGGCAATTCAGATTTGTTAAAATGAAGTGCTAGACTTCTTTTCAAAAAAGTCTAGATAATGAAAAATGTATCTAGATTAAGGTTACAGTATAGTTAACCAAAATTCTTGTAGAAAAAGTGGACCTGATATGACAAAATTAAAGTGAATGATTCTGTATAAATCTGTCTCTTCAGACCATAGTCCTTAGAGAAGAAAAGGGTCAAAATAAGAACTAGGGAAGTTTTTTCATTGAAATATGAAGGAGATGAATCATTAAACATCTGGTGTGCAGTAGTGATGAATTTTGCTGCAAATGAGAATAAAAGATCCATTTCTTCACCTGATCTAATCTTTTGTAGGTTACAGGGATCAAATTGTAAGTGGACAGGCTACTTTTGATGAGCTAGCTTCCCAGTTCAGTGACTGCAGCTCAGCCAAGCGGGGTGGGGATCTGGGTCCGTTCGGAAGAGGACAGATGCAGAAACCCTTTGAAGATGCTACATATTCAATGAAAGTAGGAGAGCTCAGTCAGCCAATCGAGACAGACTCTGGTGTACACATCATACTGAGGACAGCTTAACCTACCATTACTATTTGTCATAATGCTGGGCATTGAATGTATAATTCTGACAGACAGCTCTACTTACATCACCGTTTTCTTTTAGTTGGTGCATCATTAGTCTTTGTCAAATAAGACATATTGAATGAACAACCCCTTATGAATATTGTAGTCTTTTCATGCCATGGAGGAAAAATAGATGAAAATGCATACGGTTGTAAGGTGTGAAACACAGCACTTGCCTCTGAAATTCGTAAACTGCCGAGAGTGACATTTAATTTTGTTTTTGTATATGGTCTACCTTTGTTTAACTTTTGTACTATTAGCTATTTGATGGAATATATTGTCATGTGATTTCAAGTCTCCTTGTACTGTTTATTTAGGTGCAAATTAATAAATTACATGTGCAATGTTGTTCATATATTTATTCCTTTATCCTGTTTTACTTTCAGAAACATAAATGTTTTTTTCAAGATTGGTAATTATGACCTCACTTTGCAAAATTGCAAATTCTACTTTTAAAAAAATTGTAGTGGGGGGTAATTACCTTCTCAGCTCACACCCAGTATGTCTTCTTAATGCTCAAATGACTAAGAGTATAATTCAATTAATACTTGTGCTACAGTGTGGCCAATTATAATATCCAAATTGAAAACTTCTCTTTTTCTAAAAAAAAAAGCCATCTTACTGTTAAAAAAGTATTTCAACTTTTCTGTAGAATACAGCTAACTTTGGTATCTCGAACACGGATATCTTGAACACCATGGATATGTCGAAGTGATTTGGAAGTCCCAAGCTCTTTTTTCTATGAATATTTTACCCTCAAAATCTTGAACCCTCAGATATCTTGAAATTTTTTCTCAGGCCCATTGAGTTTGAGATAACAAAGTTTGACTGTGTTTGAAATATAGTTGTATGCATGAAGAACAGTTGTGCTTAGCATTACTACTACAGTGATCTTTCTAAAGATCGTTTATAGACCATTTCTTTTTAAGACTGTCTTAAATGACAGAACCATTCAATATCGGTTCACCAATATTATTCAAATGCTAGGACATTTCAATACTGTAAACATACTTTTTCAATGGGGTAATAATGCAGCTGAATCACAGTTTCTGTTCAAGCAGCAGGTAGAAAATTAAGTGGATATTTTGAACTGTCATTTTATTTCTTAAATGTACTTTTAGAACTGAGTACCCTGAGACCAATTTCCACAGAAAATTTCTGACCATTGTACATACCAAAAATTAAATCAATGCCGGAAAAAAGTATGTGTATAGTATTCCATAAAACTATGCTATAATAAGTCCATTAATAAACATGTACACCTGTGTTCATACTCTAATACAACAAAACAAATGAAAGCAAAGACTACTTCACTGATACATTTAATATTATTGATAGACATATTTCAGCAGTATTTATTTAGAAAACCTCAGAATTTCACATTGACAATCTACCAAACTCTAAACAATTGCATATTCACAGGTGAATGAAAAGAGTCAGACTTGATACCCATATCACAATAATCAAGACTTTTGTTGAAACCATAAAATCATTTTATGACAATGTTAAACCATCTAAAGAGAAAATGTTGACCCTTTTATCTGTTTATGTGCTAGCTGGATTATATTTCTAACTAAAATTTATAAAAGAAAGATAACCTGTGGTAAAATTTCTTACACAACAAACTTTAATTTTTAGGAACATGTAAACAATGAACCAGCAGTTAAAACAAAAATACTTGTACATCTTAATACATGTAATACCCCATAAATGTAAAATACAAATTCATTATAAAAGTTGATTAGGTTCAATGGTTGACAACCTTAAATACTGCACAGACTGTATACTGATATAAACTACAAAAAGATCAACAAAATCACACATCATATTAAAAACAAAAACAAGCATTTTCTTTTTTGTCATATATTGCTGATGATCACAGATAAATGATTTATTGCAAAGATAAATGCATTCTCTTCATAAACAAACAAATTTTCATAAACATTGTTTTAAAAAAAACAGTCTCACTACAAACATATATCAGCACTTAAAACCCCATCACAGACTTTTCAAGATACAGAACAGTACATTTACCATAAACATTGCAAATGTTGCCTATAACAATTTTAGACTACATTTTTGTCACCAGAAAATTTGCTTGGTAATTTTTTGAATGCTTCAAAATACAAAATGTTCTCTTAAAATATGACATTTGCTTTGACCTTTGATGCTGAAGCATCATCAAAAGGTGACACAGCTGATATTTGAATTTTCATCTTCAATAAAATATGAATTTTCATCTTCAATAAAATATGATATGCAAATCTTCAGCCTTATTTGCTACACATTGATAGATTTAATGTGATAAATATGTATATAGTAACGTATATAGTACATACCGGGTAGTAGTTGTTTAAAGACTAAACTGAAGAAAAAAATGTTTAAAACAGTGGGACTTGCTATATTTTGATTTCCAAAATGAACGAAATACAAATAACAAACAAACAAAAATAAAGGTTGATCTTTAAATTACAATACAATGTCTCAGAGTTTGTATGTTGAAAAAAAAAAAGAGTCATCATATACAGGCAATTACCGGACAAATTGTCAGATTACACGAACTGAACAAATAAATTCAAAGTATCGTAATATCACTTTAACTTTAAATTAGAATATTTTGACATTGATAATACCTTAACTGGCACAAAGATTTATGTTTTTCTTCTTAGCAAAAATTCTGGTGATTCAATTAAACAAAATTAAATACAAAGATCTAATGGAGAAACAAAAGGTACATTAAATTCATTAAAACGCAGTTTAGCAACATTGACAATTATGGAAGCAGAAGCTAAAGATGAACCCAATATTCAATGAATGAATTCAGATATCAATAGGATTTTAAAAAGAATCATGCAATAACATGCATTGGTTATTCATCAAAATTTCATTTTTTCTTCTGAAGGGTGTCATGTTTGCTCATACAAGTTCTTTCAAAAATAAATTCATGTATTCATCAGGCCCGTAGGAAGCAATTTCAGTTGGGGGGGGGGGAGGGGGGGGGGGGGGGCACAGCCATACATTTTCAGTTGAGGGGGCACTATCGATTACCAAACATTTCTTGAAAAGCATAAAATTAAAAAAAAAAAAAAAAAAAGGTCATCAGATGTTTTTATTGAGGGGGCACAGGCGTATAGTAGCCATGTTTTCTAAGTATTCTATATATCGGCAAAATTATTGGGGGGGCACAGCCCCCCCGTGCCCCCCTGGTTCCTACGGCCATGTTCATGAACTTGTTTCATTACCAACAAGCTCCTATATTAATTAATGCATGATACCTCAAAGTATGTGTTCAATGTAATGAGATTTTCATTGATCAAGTCATCTTTGAACAAACATCAACTATATTTTTAACATAAATCAATAAAACCGTGCAGATTTACAGACTTAATCTCTTCTAATACATGTACATGTGTATGTTTACTCCAAAATTTTGATATAAAAATTCTATTTATTTCATCACAGAAACCTTTGAATAAATACTACTCCGAGTCTACAAAATTGGGACAAAATTTGTAATAAAAATAATCAAGAGGACGGATCTCAATGATGGGACGGACAAAAATGAGTTCGTTTGGAAAAAAGATTTGGGGGGAGGGGGTAGGTGGCAGTGTTGATTATCCTCATTAAATTATCAAAATTTCCACAATGCCTTATTTTAAATCAGGCATTATATTACACAAGTATGTCAAAGATAATAATAAATGTATAAGCAACCAAAGTGTCACAAATTTCCACATGGCAAATGCACATACATGTAAATGTGAATTCCATTGTTTAAGCGTTACATAAATGTAATTTTCCCATTTTAAAAGTAGATGCTTTTAAAATTCCATCCAAAAATTTATTGCAGCCATTTGCATATATCAAAAAAGAATGGTAAAAATGTTACATTCATATCATTGAACACCAACATATCTTTGGCACAAGGGTTATGTTATGAAAAGCCAGTAGAAAGATGCACAGAATTTAGTGATAACATTTGCTTACTGGTTAACCAATAATTAGCAAGATGGTAATTGTAATTAGTTGCAATGTTTGCAATAAGTCATTATAGAAATAATATTTGTCCCATACGAATCTGACATAAAATGATTCAATTCTGTCTTGAAGAATTCTAACTATTGAGAATTTTATATCTATCACTGGCCAATGAAATGCAACTAATTTAAGCTCCAAAGAGTGAGTCATATGAGACAATTGGGGTAGCCATATTGCTTGTTCTGCTGGTGCAGAGAATTTACTGATGAGCTTCAGTCATGATTCCAAAGTGTGACTTCTTTTGATTTACAAGTATTACATTAATGTGATCATGTTTGATACATGTATATTACCTTTTTTTTCCTGAATTTCTTTTTTAAGATATTTTTTAAATATAAAACACTACAAAAATTAATGATTATACATGTACATGATGATTTTTGTGTGACCATATAATGACAGACTAAATAGAAATGATAATACAGTAAAACATGCTTACAGCAAACACTCTTATCACAAATTGACGCTTACAGCGAAGTGATTTTCATTCTCTCTGGCTTTAAAATATATTGTGAACTTAACGGATATAACAAATTATGTTTATAACAAAGCAAAATCATCCATCCCTGGCACTTCTTTATAAGCTTGTTTTACTGTACATGAATATGTGGCATTGAAATGTAATTAATTAATTGATTGAAAATTAACCAATCAGCACTGCCAAATTCACTTGTAATATTTTCTGTTGGGAAATGTGGAGCTAAATTATTACAACAGGTTTGCATTCTTAACTTAATGTAATATTTTTTAAAAATTTAAAAAACCTTTGATCTAACTAACTACGAATTCATCATCAGTTTTACAGTAGAATTTGTGTCACTGCTAGAACACCTTCGTGACATGACCTTGACCCCATAAGAATTATCCCCATCTTTGATTTCTGTTGCTCTTTTGTACAATTTGGCTGCAGTTTCAAAATCTCTCTGAAAAGAAAGAGAAAAACAGTTGTGTATTTGAACTTAATATGATTTTTTAATACAGTAAAATATAATTATGGAGATCACCAAGAAAAACTGAAATTAATAATTTGTTAATTTTATGGAATTTAACACTGCTTGGCAGTAGAAGGTAGAACTTTGTGACATATTACCATTTCATATTTCATGACAGCTAAGTTCCTCAGAGTTTCTGCTACTCGAGGATGATGGGGGCCCATGCTTTCCTCATAAATCTGAAGGGCTTTCTTGTACAGAGGTTCAGCTTCTATGTATTTGTTCTACAAAACAGAAAACTTAAAATCTAAAAAAATTCCTTACCAAGTCTTTTTTTCCACCTAAATACCAACATCCCTTCATTATCTTTTTTCAACTGAAACATATCCACTTAGATTTTCTATATTTTAACACAGAAGCCAGTCATACAAAGCTGCATGATCAGAGAAACAAATTAATTCATTTTGTTCCATCCTTACGAAATTTTAAAGAATTAGCAGATGGAAAACTGAGTTGTTTTACAGAAAGATATCAAAGTCTTTTTGAAGATGCTTCAATATTTATAAATTTTCCTTCAATTCTTTCCATGAAATGTATAGGGTACATAAAAATAAAAACAGAGTTCAGATACTGACGGGGAGAATTAAATAAAAAAAATCTCGATATGAAGTTGAATAAAAAGTGAAAAACTTGAGAGCTAGAATTCGCTCTGGTACAACTGAAGTTATTCAACAAAGCACCTGCTGAGAGTATAGCACTGCTAAATTAACACAGGCCGTGGCCACAGAGGGGTGATCTGGACCAAAGGACTTCTCCCTTATCTCAATAGCTCGCTTGTACAGGGGCTCAGCCAACTCAAATTTACCCTACAACGTCAAGCATAAGGTATAACTCCAACCATATGAGTGGCAATCACCACATAATACTTAAATAAATGACAGTCTTCAAGCCATTAGAGTCAACAAACATAAATTTTCTTTACTATGATAAAATTTACAGTTTGAATCACATGTATGATCAAGATACATGTATTTAATTATTTATTTTCATTTACAGAGTTCAAGTATGTTAATACATTGTATCTACAAATCATAGAGTTACCTGCTTCCTGTAGAGTAGAGCCAGATGTTTTATAACAGAGGCTACACTGTCATGGTTTACACTGAAATGCTAGAAATAAATTTTCTGTAACAATTTTGTCAACAAATAGATTATAACAGAATTTTTGAATTCATTGTAATTTAGTTTTTGAATTATTCATACATGTAAATTCTTTAATATACAATAAGTTTCATTTATTCTTGGATTTTTCATGCCCCCGGATCAAAAGATCTTGGGGGTATATGTTTTTGTCCTGTCTGTCTGTCTGTCTGTTGTCAACTTTAACCTAGCCCATAACTATTGCGCTGTCAAGAGTAAGGCTTTAATATTTGACATGAGTGTTCATTATGACACGACCTTTCATTGGGTTCCACCATATATGACCTTTTGACCTTGACCTTGGAGTTTGACCCAGTTTTGCAAAATTTACCAAACTTTAACCTTGGCCATAACATTTGAATGGTTGGTGCTAGGTCTTTCATACTTCACATGTGTAATCCTTGTGACAAGACCTTCCTTTGGATACCAACACTTACATCACGTGTAATCCTTGTGACAAGACCTTCCTTTGGATACCAACAACTTTGACCCTTTGACCTTGACCTTGGAGTTTGACCTACTTTTGGAAAATTTTAACCTTTGTGACAACTTTTGAACAGTTGGTGCTAGGGCTTTCATATTTCACATGTGTAATCCTTGTGACAAGACCTTTCTTTGGATACCGACAACTTTAACCTTTTGACCTTGGAGTTTGACCTACTTTTGGAAAACTTTAACCTTGGCCATAACTTTTGAACAGTTGGTGCTGGGGCTTTCATACTTCACATATGTAATCCTTGTGACAAGACCTTTCTTTGGATACCAACAGCTTTGACCCTTTGACCTTGGAATTTGACCTACTTTTGGAAAACTTTAACCTTGGCCATAACTTTTGAACAATTGGTGCTTTGGCTTTCATATTTCACCTGTATATTTCTTGGGAGAAGGCCTTCCTTTGGCACCATTAATTTTGACCATTTGACTTTGACTTGATGTTTGACATACTTTTGAAAAAAACTTTAACCTTTTCCATATCTATTCAATGGTTGCTGTTTGGCCCTTTATATTTCTAAGGTATATTCCTCAAGACAAGACCTTACTTTGGGTATCAACATATTTGATTTGCATTTGAGAAAGTTTAACCTTTGCTATAAGTTGCCATACGGGGGCATCAGTGTTTCACAAAAACATCTTGTTTTATCATAAAAAGAATACTTATGCATGTACAAACATGTATGTAATGAATGTATATGTACAGCTGAACTTTGGTATCTCAAACTCGGATATCTCAAACATCATGGGTATGTCAAAGTGAATTGTTAGACCCAAGCTCTTTTTTCTTTGAGTACTTTATACTCAATATCTCAAGCCTCAGATATCTCCCAGTTTTTTCTCTGCCCAGTAGAGTTTATAGGAGGAAACAGAATGTACAAAAGAGACTATTGAAAAACCAGCAGACCATTTTCCTTCATTGCATATACATGTAAATCTTTCAAAGAATCTCCGAGTTTTACCAAGAACATGTGAAAAATCAGCATTGGTTCTTAATGATACACATGAACTGATGTCAGACCTCCATTGTATTAACATGAGCTGTCTGATTTTCATCTGTTTCTCAATATGTAAAGATACACTATTTCCAAAATCACTACATAAGAGCAATGTACACGTACAAACACCTTGTTACCTTCAGTCTGATTTGCAGTGCTCTCTCATACAAAGGTTCTGCCTTGTCGTACTGTTTTCTGTCATTATAAAGAGCAGCTAGGTTGTTCAGTGACTGGGCAACATCAGGGTGATCCGCCCCCAGTGTAGCTTCTCTCATCTCTAGGGACCTCTTCAACAGAGACTCCGAGGCTCTGAAAATTTAAAATACAAGTTTCATTCAGTAAGTACCTTTTAAACTACCGTATATACTAAAGATATCTTTGCATATCTGGATTTGACTGAAGACCAACATGGTAGTAAATCTTCTCTGAGATATATGACAATGAAAAAATAAATAACCACCCCATATCCAAAAAGTAGCACATTTGTTGTCTTTCCACAAAAAGCTATCTACATCTGTAGATACATGAACTTGCAAAACAAATCTCACAAGTCTAGATACAAGCATTGTTCATTGGAATTTAAGATTCATGTCAGATACTGTATATTTCAAAATTTACACATGGGGATAAGTTGTTTTTCAAATAAATATTCCCAATGCGTTGAAGGTGTATAATAGAGGACACATACGCATTACTTACTCAAAGTCATTTTGTAAATAATGTAGCACTCCAAGCTCATTAAGGGTTCTTGCAAGGTCTAACGAGTCTGGACCTATTGCTAACTCCTCAAGCTGAAGAGCTCTTCTCTGCACAACTGATTTCATCTGTCCCTGTCATTGAAACCAGCAAGAATGGAACAGAAGAAAAAAAATTGACATAAAATATAAAACATAGAAAAGACAAATAAGATCAAGTGATATAAATGCATTTGAAACTACATCTTCAATGGAGTGATAAAACACATACAGAATTAGATCTTGGTGTCTTCACTTTCTTTCTGATAGATACAGCTCTCTTTTTAAGAGGCTCAGCAAGGTCATGTCTGTAAAATAAGAAAAGAACAAAAAAATTATTCTTTTGATCCCAGTAACAGAAATGTAATATTAAATATGACAAGCAGAAACGTCTCCTTGTTTTTGAACTCTGTCTTTGAACACAAAATTACAAAAACTGCATATAAACATGTACATGATGAAAAGAGAAGTCAACTAGCAACCAGTCAAAGACAAATCAAATGCGAGTTGTCTTGACATGGAGCAAGGTGTCTAAAATGGGGGGGGGGGGGGGGGGGGATGTAGTTGTTTTGGGTTGTCTTCAGTGCAGTTGTCCTGATTCCCATTCAGTCTAAACACATTCACTTACTTGTCCTGTTTTTGATAAAGGACAGCAAGGGCATCCAGTTCCTTAGCCACCAGGTAGTGGTCAGATCCATATCTATCCACATAAATATCCAGGGCCTGTTTATAGAAGGTTTCTGCTGTGGAGAATTTCCCCCACTGTGCATGGAGTCCAGCCAGCTGGTGATGTGATCTGGCTACAATCGGATGATCCGGATCTAAAGCAATCTCTCGGATTTCAAGTGCTTTCTGTAGAGCTGGAACAGCCTGGATGAAAATAAAAGTCTACTATAATAATCATATTTACATGTACATTCATAATATTTGATTTACAATTTAAAAAAAAAGAATAATAAACTGAAAATAACCAAATATACATTACACGCACATGCTATACAGTACACGTACATGCTAGCTAATATGAAACATTTTTTTATCTTGTGATTGTAAATACAAGTCATAAAATAGCTTGGTTGCATTTCTGGCAATAGTGGCTTCATATACATGAACATAAATTAAATCACAATCTTTAAATAATTCTTTTACCAGTTTAATACAGAGAATAAACAGCACTACAGTCCCCACCTGGTTTAAGAGCCCCAAGTCTTTGAGGAATTGTCCCAGAGATTCAAACATGTCAGCAATCCGGGGCAGAGTGATCAGTCCTCCATGTTGCCCTACAACTAGAATTTCATATGAATTCATAAAATTGTACAAGCTTGGTACTTTATGTGATGTCAAAAAACTTTTGGAATTGATGATGACATAAAAGTAAAAAATAGCTTCCTCACAAAATCATGCCATTTTACAAGCTGTGATCAATATTTACATGAATACAAGAGAAATATCATACATTGTGAGATTGTAAGCTTACAACAATGTGGGAAGCGATTTTTAATTTAAGTGAAGAAGCAGTACAAACTGTATATCAGGATACTAATTTTCTCCTCACCTTCCTCCATTTTCCTGGTAGCTGTGAAGTAAGCCTGAGCCATACTGTTTTTGTCTGTGGTGATAGACTGCCAGTAACTGATCAACTCAGCACACCTTCCCCTGAACAAAATATTGATATTTTGTCATGAAATTTTCCTCATTTTCCCTTATCTTTTATTAAAGACACCAAGACTGTGTCGACTGCCTAAAGCAGATTAAAGGCATTATTTGTAGGAAATTTATGTCCTATAAATGGCTTTCCTACATAATATATTACCTAAACTGAGATTTCCGGTATCTGCAGATGTGTAAAATTTTGCAAACCATGTTCATTAGTTTTCACTGTGATAAAAACCATACCTTGCATACAGTCTCTGGAATATACACAAGTTCAGTATACACTTTTCCAGGTTTTCCTTGTCTCCTTCAATCTTTAGCAGCCATGGTAACTCATCTGCCACTCGACAAGTCACCTGCCCAGGACTAGAATAAAAAGAACATAGATTTCTTTTTAAAATATAGAATAATCTATATTTTAAAATTAGACTTCTTTCAAATTTAAAATTCATGAAACAATGAATGAGAAGTCAATTACAATTATTATCCTCTTATCAAAGTTTAGTAGGAAGTTGAGAAGTTTTACAGCAAATTTCTCAAGAACTCTAGTAGAAAGAATTTTCACCTTAAAAACTGCGAGAAATATTTGATAAGATCTTTCCTAAGCTGACTGACTAGCCTGGCCTCATCCTTCCCAAAACAGTAGTCCTGCACAGCACACCTAACCTATCAAGGCAAAAAGGCAATGTTGTCAATCTGGTTAAATTAACTTTAGTCTTCTAAGGTCAATTAATAAATTAAGGTAATTAATTTGATAAAATAATTCACAGAATAATACCAAAGCTAGACAATGCACATACATAAAAATTTGTTTTTTTAAATATAAAGATTTACAAGATATTCATATTATAATGAGGTAAGTACATGTATTTTCAAGTTTCATTAATTTTCAATGGCTGACCTGTTCATGAGCAAAAGTGAGTAGTCCCCCTTGATATTTCAGTACCAAGTGGTCAGTAAGGACTTCAGTGAATATGGTCAGAAAATTCCAGGACAGATTTGGTATCAAGGCCAGTAACTCTGTCTCAGCAAGTCCACCACGACTGACATAGAGGTATCGTAATATCTACCAAAAAAAACAAGAAAAGTTACTACTTAGTATAACACACTGTATCAAATGGATCATCAGAAAAAGAATTTAAGCTTACAGCTATTTTTACCCTACCAGGGATACCCATCCATAGAATTGGGCTTTTTTTTTGTCAAAGGGATCATGCATAAAATTTATTTTTTTTATAGAGGCACCTGGGTCAGCAGTACTATTTACATACTATATTTTTAGAGAGGAATTTGATAAGCTTAGGAAATGTTTGTCATAAAACGTTTTTTTAATTTTTAAAATTCCAGAGCTGATGATTTTGTGACTTTGATCGTTACCTTTAACTTACTTGTCTAGAGCATTTTACACTGTTAAATGCTCCATAACAACATTAAATCCTTTCCACCGTGATATTAGGATTATGGTTTTCAGCATGTGTTACAGCTTATTATAACACTTTCAAAATGAAACTAGTTCTACTTGTTTACAGAAGAAGTGAGATAGAGCCTAGGCTCCATTAAACTTTTGTTGAAATGTATCAATTATAACATGCTTCTTGGAAATTTCCTCTCTCTTGAATGTATGCATTACAAATGACAAATTACATATAGCTTACAGCAACTGCTGTTGTCATCCTGCAATATTTTAAAATTAAAGAACATAGTTTTGTTAACACCTAAATTTCAAGCTTGAAGTGATCATCAACTCTCCATGTACAAGGTACCGGTAATGTTTGCATCTTACTAGGATATACTTTTTTATAAACTTTGGGTTTTTTTGGTGGAAGTGCAACTCATAACAAACATCCAGACTTAATGACCACTAAACACTTGAAAAAGTAATCCCTATAAGTATGCCATGCTACAAAGGTAAAACAAAAAAGTAGTGTAACTGTTCTCACAGATTTTAGGAAGCCCCTTGTTTCCTGAGATTCTAGACTTATCCTGAGTAGATCCAGAATTTTGCCATACAAGCTGACACAATCCTGACAGGTCAGCAACACATCCAGCTGGGATCCTACCTGACCATCATGTTTCAGGTACCTGATAAAAAAAAATTTCCAAGTCACTTCCCTCCATAAGAATTATGGTATATCTCACCCTACTTATACATTTTTTTCAGCAAGATTTCCCTTTGAAAAATGATTTCTTGCTCAGCTTTTTCTCTAGATTTTTATGAACAAAAGTCTTGTAGACCTTTAATATTTGGAGGCAAAATAAAGCAAAGTGTATGTTATTCATAGAACCTTCACAAAGCTATCATTTGAACTCCTTACCCTGCAATATGCCTGGCCAGTACCATGACATACAGAGGACTACAGGTAGCCGGAGTTCTACAATGGGTCAGGATCAAGCTGTCTTCTGATCCAATCTGGGCATCCATTGTGGCTAGCTCGGCATGGATCAGCTCTTTCACATTCTTGTTGCTGAGTGGTTCAACATGCAGTGTTGGCCATGCTCTAAGGAAGACAAATACAGGGTATACACTTACATGTACTTGTAAACTGTTTTAAGTTTTCTTCACAGCCTAACCTTCAACAAAAAGAAATGTACACAAATAATTGTTTATGAAAAAAAATTTGTCATTACCACCTATTCCCTGATTTCCCTCAATCTTAAATAAATATATGATGCACATATAATATTATGTGCCTTTAGTGACCTTGACCTACCTCCAAGCTTGAGGACATGTTTCTTCATCTGCTGTCACAATAACCCTAACATCAACAGGTAGTGGATCCAAAAGCCATTTTAGGTGGATCTCTGCTTGCTTAAAAACAAAACAGAACTTATGAAGTATTGTAAGTGATTGCCCGATTTTGCTTAGTACATGTAAATTAGTAAATGTGAAAGTATTTATATTCACCTATAATATCAGTAGGAAAAAACTTATCAAGGTGTTACAGTGAAAAAGTCATAAGCTTCTATTTTTCTTTCTATTCAGATATTACAATTGGACCAAGATATATACCGGTATGAAAAATACAAAACTAGTTATACTGTACTTACCTGAAATTTGTTGATTGAATCCAGAACCAGTATGACCCCTCCTGGGGTTTTCTCTGAGACTTTTTCCAGCCATCTTGGAAATTCCTCCACCAGTCTAATTGGATCAGCAGTCAGAGCTGGTGGTGAGTTCACCTTCTGCATCAGCTATCACACAATGTAAAAAAACAATTCATTATGGTGAAAAAAGAATCTGGAAATTTCTATTATCTTCTGTACATTAACAGATCAAAATCCAAGATCCATGTCATCTGTAAATCTGTATGAACCACTCAACATTGTATCATAAAAATAACCAGTGTTTCATCTGAATCTCAGAAGTCCCTGTCCCTTTGGTTTTTTATTTACTGATTTAGATATACACAGGTAGTATTATTTTGTTTCTTACCTGGGAAGTTAACCTTCTTATCATGAAGATAGGGTCCGCACTGACCGAGGATTCTGACCCCACAAAATGGTACAACACCTGACCAGACGGAGTCTTCTCCTGTTGTAGATTCATCCTGAAATAAAATATAACAAAATTGCTTTATTTTCCTTTAATCTTCTGTCTTTGATGAGCATGGATTTCTTTTTTAAAGCCAACAAATCTTTACCATTTAGCTAACAGCAAAGATCTGCCAGATCCTGGAGCCCCAATAATTAACAAGGGAGGGAGGAGTCCCGCAGAAGAAATGTGAGCATTCAGTCTCTCATAATGCTGTAAAGAAAACATACCTCAGTAAATATGTATACAAGTATTCAGGCTAGCACTACTATGCCACGGGCAGTAATCTTCAGTTCAACAAACCTTCTCAAATCCAAGTTCACAGCTGGATTTGATGGCAAAGTTAAATGCCTCCATTTGTTCATAATCCCCGTGTATGTCCCAAGCCTGTCCACCACATATTTTGTCAGGTCCTTCCATTTCTCCAGCAACATTTTCTTCGTCTTCAATGCTCTCTTGTCCAGTATTCATTCCAACTTCCTACAATGAATATTTTTATGTTCATTTTTTGGCAATAACAGAAGATTTTGTTAACTGCCAAATAGGCAGAATATTGAAGTTACAACCATATTGTGTATTTCTCATTTCACTTGACATAATGTTCATTAAACAAAGTATTCATTGTATTTCTTTATGAAACAAATATTTCTAGTATCCTCCTTAAGATGAAAATTAAAATTAACCCCTGTTTTGGTTATTATTGAGATGAACTTCAGAGATATGTATACATAAACCTTAGGTATGGGTTAAAAATCTGAGATCTAATTTTACCGGAAAGCAAATGAAATATACCCCCCCCCCCCCCAACACACCCATAAATTTTGTTTCTATTGGATGTATGCAATTATGTATTACATCAGTATGATAAAGATTTAGGAATGCAATATAGTCTTAACAACTCACAGTTTTAATCATTTTCTCAATCTCTGCTACAGCCTGCTCTACTCCACGAGAAGGTGCCGTGTAGCCATCAATTATTTTGGCATTTCCTTTTTGTCTTACTTTGTTTTTTAATTCACTTGCTTCTGTGTGACTGGCTCGATTACTAAATGGTAAAAAAAAAAAAAAAAAAAAAAAAAAAAAAACTTCATAAACAAACAGTTTAAGTACTAAGGGTAATGTGATACATTAAAAAAATACATGTTAACTGTTTTTATGAAAAGGAATGATTACAAGTGCTCATAGATTTGCACTTCCACATAAAATATTGCAGAATCTTGAAAAAAATAACCTTCTCTTGGAAAAAACTTACAACTTCTTGCAATTTTAAAATGTTACAATGTAGTATCATTTAGTGGAAAATTCTGTCTGAAAATATTTTCCAATGGATTGCTTTACATTTCATTACATGTCTGCATTAATTAATTACTGCTTGCCAAGAAGATTGTATTTTGTGTATGTTTTTGGATTATCCATTTGTCATTTTAGCTAATAGAATTTTATTAAAAAAAAAAAAAAAAAAAAATTTTTAAAAATTTACTTGCTGACTCACCACTCACCCAGCCATATGTAACTAAATCTTACCCTTTTCCATCTCGGAAGGAGAACACTGCTGATAGGTTGCTACCGTTCTCTAAGTACCCACACTTGTACTCCCAGCTAGTAAACCTGATAATACCAGAATATTAAATATTTTACTACTCAGTGATTGTTTCTTTCATAAACTGCTAGTCACTGATTATATGTGTATACATGTATGAATTCCCCAGTATATACAGTCAAACCTTGTTATCTCGACCTAAAAGGGACCGAGAAAATACTTCGAGATAACCGAGGATTCGAGATATCCGGGGTAAAATACTTAAGGAATAAGCAGATGGGACTTCAAAATGACTTCAACATATCCATGGTATTCGAGATATCTGTGTTTGAGATACTGAAGTTCAACTGTACAAGTACATGTAATGCGATAAAATATTTTTAAATTCTTAATAATTACAAACCTGTCTGCAGCATCTCCCAGAAAACCCACAAATATGGATGACTTTTCTATCTGCCTCTTCCTTGTTAACTGCTGTCTTTCAATTACCTTTGAAAAACATGAATAGCAACTAATTTTAAATTTCACCAAATAAATGTGCTAATTTAAATTTCATTTTTTCCTTTTTAGGAAACAAGCTTATGCAGCACATATTGATCTAAGGGTGTGTTATCTGGATATGGAAATCAAACAAATGCACTCTTCATATGTATTTGTTTAAGAATGTTTGAGAAAAATCTTTAATCTTCTTTTTTTACTTTCATTTTCCTACATTTTTTTGCATTTAAAACTACTAGTGGTTTTAAAAGAAAAGAAATGTTTCTTGCATTGTGTTTCTCTAAAGATGAACAAACTGACAGACACAAAGACTAAAAAATCTGTAAAATACATACAGTGCTTCTTCTTCATACATGACACAAGTAAGTGGAATAAAGAATTTGTTTTATTTGTACATGTACTAATTATCATGTATAGACCTACATATACCTGTGGAGTAAGGTTAACATTGTCATCTAGTGTCAGATGGATCATGATTAACTCCCTTCCCTCCCCATTACAGAGTGCAGCCAGGCGTGGGAAATATTCTTTCTGAAATATCTCCACCTCAACGTGAGTATCACGGGGGGCGGACACATAGATTCTGATGATGGGACTGAGGGCATGCTCAGGAAGACTGGGAATTATCTTGGTCAGACTTGATATCACCGAGCTCCAGTCCTCTGAGAAAAAAAGTCACATAAAATCACATTACAGTCACATGCAAGTCCCATTATAGTCATGTAACATGAAAATCATATTAAAGTCAAAGTCAAAATAAAAACCACATGAAAGTCACATGATAGTCACAGTCACATAAGAAATCATATTAAACATGCTAAAAAAATCAAAAACTTATCTTTTTTTTGGTCATTTTCTTTCATGACTATATCTCAAAATTTCCTTTTAAACAAAATTCTTTTTTTTCTATGCAATTTTATTTGTCTTTCTTAAAACTTCTTTGAAATTGTATTTACATGACTTTTCATATTGAATGGAATAATGCTAACCATCAAATTACATGTATAAAATCATTTTACTACCCCCTCCCCTCCCCCCCCCCCCAAAATACAAAAGTATTTTCAGCATACCCCTATTAATATTGTTGAAAGGACCCTCTGTTTCCATCATGCCATGTGCAAATTCTGGTCCCCTCAATGTCGTCTGGTGCCCTTGGCTCATGTTACTTAGTGAGGGTTCACTCTCCAGGGCTGTCCACCAGTCACCTGGGTTTGGACTTCCTGTAATTATTCACTTAGTATTAGTACATAAATTAAAACTTTTATGCAACAATTTTCAACTCTCCAAACTAAAATACATGTGTAAGTAATGCAGATAACTTGTATACTCCAGATGATTCAAATTTCTGTTTATGACATAAAGCTACTGCACACAGACTATTATTCGCTTTATTTTTTTATTCACAATTCATCAGTTTGAAATCCATTCACAGCTATTAATTTTTGGCAAATTTTACATCAATTCTATAACTTACAAATATTCCAAATAAAAGTAATGATAGGCTAGGCATTATAAATAAAACACTACTGTAACATCATATATACTGATTTAGAAATATATTCTTTCCTTACCTATAATCTTATATAATGGATTTCTGAAAATAAAACATTGCCCACCTAAAGATGCATCAAAATCTGGTCTGTTTGAAGTTTCTGAATCCTCTAGACTATATCCAGATGCCATTTTGAACACTTTATTTTCTAGAGCTCTTTTATCTCTCAACAATGTCTGTAGTTGTAACTCCATGTTCTCCCTAAAAATCTGAAAGATAATGAAAAAGATTTTAAATACTGCAACAATTTTAAGAGAGAAGATTGGTGTCTATAATGTTCACAATACCAGAAATGAAAGAATTTTGCACTGAACATAGATATTATATACCACATAAGAACATTTAATCTAATTTAGCTTTGGGGAAAACAAATTGACATTTACTGTTGTGTCAAGTAATATGACATAATTCAGTATTAAAATCTTGTCTCACAGTCAGCCCTTTCTAAATGCTGTATAAAATCAACCATATTTACACAGGTATGAAAAGCCCATGATAACTATGTACTTTGTGATTGCAATCACATTCTTATCCCTTACTTTGAAATTTCTCTGGACTTTGTCTCTGTCACTCTGAAATGCAGCTGCCCGGGCCTGGGCGGCCTGCTCTGCTTCTGCTGCCTTGTCACGCTCTGCCCGGAGATTGGTACAAGTTTTCTGGAGGACTAAGAGCTCCGCTTTTTGACGTTTGTTTTCTATCTGTAATCTTGTCTCTTTTTTCTTCATGTCAGCTATGTCGTTTTCTTTGTTTAGTCTGAAAAATTTTAATATTGGGATATTATTTCTTTGTCAGTATAGCTTGTTCTTCTTTTTTTTCTTTCAAGGGTAGGATTAATTATTCAATTAATAATTTATCTTTCAAACATAATAGTATTTAATGATTGGGAGGGAGGAAATGAGTTTAACAAGTAATATGTATTGTAATGCAAGATCCCATCTACTCTTAACCAGAACTCAACATTTGACCGCTTGCCCAGTACCAGTGAAAAATTTTCACAGATAAGGAAATATTGCTGGGCACTTGTCCAGTTGGATAGGTGATTTTCTGTGATTTTTGTTTAAAGTTGACAATGAAAAACTAAAACCTGTTGTCAATTTTTTTTTGTTCAAATCAAAGGCATGCTGTGTGTAAATGTTTAACTTTGATCCCAATCTTAATAATGAATTGAGATTCCATTCATTAAACTTCAATAAAATCGAAATTCACTTTGGAGGTTTTGAACTTCAATCTTATGAATTTGGGTTTTCAGTATCAGATAGAAAAATTGTAACAAAAGAAGACAAAGTAAAAACAATGAGTTGGAAAAAAAAATGTATGCTATTGAACCTTTTTCTTATTGTAGTTATTTTTCTGTTAATTTTAATTTAGCTTTAAGCTAAAACAAGCCCAGTTTTAAATTCGCCCACCTGTGACTAGATTGAAAGGAGCGAAAATAAAATGGAGGCGAAGATTTCCCTGTTTACTGTACTTAAGTAGGACAGGAGATGACGGATGAGATGTATGCAGTTTAATTTCATAATTTGCTTATTGACAAAATAATACAACAATACCAATATATAAACCATATACACTCTATTTTAAATTACCATATTTTCCAAGCTGTAAAATACATGTAGTTCTTTATTGAACAATTTTTGAACGAGTAAAAATTATGTGTTTTACAAGTAAATTTTACAGTCTCTAAATTGTCGAAATGGACAAGTAGGAAAAACGTTAATATAGAGCCCTGTTAAATTCTGTATACTTGTGCGTCAACCACAATAGGGTTAAACAGAGGGGAGATGGTTAAATATTAGTCTGAAATATCTGACGTTTTCCTGGCTTTTTTACAATTTGATATTTTATGTGCAAGAAACTCGTCAGAACCAGCGCCATTATGAAAACTGGAAATTTTGCCATCTGCAACCAGAGTTGAATCTGATACTTGCGAACCGAACTAAATGCCGAACTCACAATATGACAATAGCACAATGCTTCTAGTACTCACCAATATTGATGAAAAGAAAACATCACTCCACATTTCGATACAGGAATTGCAAGATTTTAAAATGCCCAAAATGAAAACAAATTTTGACTGCCAGATAAAATGTTTTCATCGGATTGTATATTTTATAAACAAACCATAAAAACAATGTTGATGAGTACTAAAAGTATTGTACTACTGATAAGTTGTGAGTCTGAAATTTAATTCGGTTCGCAAGTTTCGAAAATCAACCTAAGAAAGCCGCCTCCGGTTGGAGGCGGTGAATTCCTAGTTTTTGTAATGGCGCTGGTTCTGACGTTTTCCTGGCACGTAAAATATCAAATCGTAAAAAAGCCAGGAAAACGTCAGATATTTCTGACTAGTTAAATATAAGATAGTGAGATGTCTAATGATGAGGCAAGTCTAAAAATGAACAGCTAGCATATCCTCATTATATACTTATGCCCAATTAAATAATGATCCATGTATTTTGCATACCTGTACATCTCAAATTCCTTTTTGATTTTCTCCGCCTCCGGATTTTCCAGATCCACCGACAGAGCTGACTGCAAACTTCCCCCGATCCTTTTATTTCTGCTGGAGCCATGACTAAATATTCCTAGTTTTCCTCTAGGTTTTATTTCCACAGGGATTCGTTTGATGACCCCATGGCTGCTTCCATTCAAGTCGTTACCAAAAATATCGTCATCTTCCGGATTATTCAGAAACGACCCACCAGTACCCATTTCACAAAACAGTTGAAGTCGAATTCACATTTTATAACCCTTAATCTCCTGATTTTGGGATAAAAAGCTTGTACAGAAATTTCATATTTCTTTTCTTGATGTGTGTCAACAAAAACAGACAAACTTGTAGAATGTAGAAAAATTTGAATGTCGAACCCGATCTCTTTTTCTCTTTTTGCCGAAATGCACTCCTAGCTAGTAGAAATGTTTTACATCACACGTTTTACTTTATACTTACTATATATATATTATATATTGTCTATATATGTCTTTAAAGTTGGTGCTATTTGATATTTTAAAAAAAATTGCAGAAAAACTCTTTTTTTTTTCATATATTACATTATTAAACAAGCAAATTCAAAGTGTCTTAGTGCATGGGATGCCATTATTTGTGGCATATTGTAACTGCCTTGTTTTTATGCCCTGTCTTGTCTGTCCATCATACAAAAAGACATAAATTATTGAATTAATTACAGTTATGTCAAAGATTATAACTCCTCAAAACTACATCAAACTTCAAGATCAAGGTCATGAGGTCAAATATTATAATACAATCCGAAAGGTCTTCTTACAAGTAATGCACATATGAAAAAAAATATGAAAGCCCCGTCTCTTCTGGAGCATAAAGGTTAATGTCAAGGTTAAAATGTTGGATAAGTCTAAGTCAAACTTCTAGGTCAAGCTCATGAAGTCAAAAATGATATTCCTTTCTGAAAGGTGTTGTCATAGGTAATGTACATGTAGAAATATGAAAACCCTATCTTCTCGCATTCAAAAGTTATTACAAATGTAAAATAAAATTTAAAAAAAAAACTGTAAATAAAACTTTAAGGTCAGGGTCACGAGGTCAAAAACCAGAGTGTACAATCGGAAAGGTCTCGAAACGGGTAATGCACATGTCAAATGTAAATGCCATATCTTCTCTCAATCAAAAGTTATCAGCAATGTTAACATTTTTGAGAATTGTGTCAAACTTCAAGGTCATGGGGTTAAAAATCATAGCACAATTTGAAAGGTCTTGTCACAGGTAATGCACGTATCAAATATGAATGCCCTATCTTTGCTCCTTCAAAGGTTAGCAACACTGATAAAATGTTTGGAAATTGGGTCAAACTTTAATGTCAAGGTCACGGGATCAAATATCAGCGCATTCGGAAAAAAATGACACAGGTAATACACCTGTCAAATATGAATGCCTATTTTATCTCATTCAATAGTAATCAATAAAGTTAATTTTTTTAAATTAAGTCAAACATGAAGGTCAAGTTCAAGGGGTCAAAATCATAGATGCTTGGGAACGTTTTGTCACAGGTAATGCAAAAGCCAAATATGAATTTTCTCCATCAAAAGTTATAAGCAAAGATAAAATTTCTGAAAAGTAGGTCAGACTTCAAGGTGAAGGCCACGGGGTCAAAAATCATAGTATATTTGGAAAGGTCTTGTCACAGGTGATGCACATATGTAATATGTAAACCCTATCTTTTATCATTCCAAAGAGTTATGACCAATTGAAGGTAATGTTAAAATCTTTGAAAAGTAGGTCAAACTTCAATGTCGCGACCCATTTCACCCCCACCCCCCTCTATATCATGTGTACGTTATCATTTGCATACTATCGAAAAACATAAGTATTTAAATAATACACGCATGGGCCTTTATTGACCAGTGTTGACGGTCAATAGTGGAGACGACGCGGTGAAGCGATGGCAATCGTGCGATGACGTTGAAGCTATGCTCGCTATTGCTACATCTTGCTATCGCACCATGGCGCTTTCGTAACTGCACTATCACGTCATCATCATCGCCGTCTACTCAATAGACGATACGCGATGGTGTGAGTATGGGATCCTTATAGGGTCACTATAGAATCCGGATAGGGCCACGTACTTTACTATCGCACATCGCAATTCGGATAGATGGTGCGATGACGCGATAATGTAATGATGAAGTTGCGATAGTGCAATGAAAGTGACACGATGCAATTTCGCGATGACGCGATGCCGATGGTTCGATGACACGATGGAGCGATAGCGCCACAACGCAATTATACGATAGCGATAATGATGAGAATGATACGACGACGATTAAATAATACTTGCTATTGTACCGTCGAACAATTGCCAATGCATTATCGCACCATTGCATCATCGTCATTGCAACATCAAATTGTCGTCATCACACAGTCGCTTCATTGTGCCATCAACCAAACAGTCGATGTTCTATGGTGCAATAGTGAATAGTGACCCTAACCGCAATTTATTCTCAGGTGACCTATTTTGATTTTGGCATCGTAGTTCCTTACCGCATCGTTGAGCCATTGACCCATAGTCGATGGTGCGAGGAGACGATTGTACAATGATGATGATGATGATATGATAAACAATATCCCGATGACGATGATGCAGTGGCGTTCTAATGCAATGACGATGGTGCATTAGCACAATAGAGCGATAGCAAACATCGCTTCATCGTCCCCGTACCATTGTTCATCGTCATCGAATCATCATGCCATCGCATCGCATTCTAACATCGGCAATGCGCCATCGCATCTTCGTCATCGTAGCATCGCCTCTCTGCAGCATCAACCCAAACTTGCTATCTGCATGTTTTTGTCATTGTCCGTCGGTTGTAAACTTTTTGTAATTTTCAGCTTTTCTGAAACGACCGAACCAATTTCAACTTATTTTGATACATCACACCCATTGTTAACGAGAAATAAAGACAATCTATATCTCCCTGTGGCCTGAGGGGATGCGGCCAAAATTATCGAAATCAATGCAATCTTCAAAATTCCTCTGTACCCTTAGACATCCAACCGGCAAATTAAATGCTTGATTACAATGATTAGCTACCCTTCTAAACAATTTAAAAAAATTAATGTTCCCCAAGTACAGGGATCAACCCTTAGAGTAGGTCTGGTTCTTGCACTCAGGGTTTGTTGACCTGTTAACACATTAACCACTCTAATAAATACATACATGTATGTCAAACAAATATAGGGGAAGTTGACGAGGTCCCGCTAACTGAACGGAGATTATGCGTAAGCTAGAGCCTATGTTCTCCTAGGTGAAATGATAGCCAAAGCGACTGCTCTTAGAGCTAGCCAGTTGCATTGTGTTCTATCTTCCCTAATATGTCCACAACGCAGACCTACAGTGGTAGCTGTTTTCTCACACTGCAATGGGTGCGTCAGAGTGCCTGGTGGGATTCCGGGAGGAGGATGGCTGAGCGCCCTTGAGGTGCGGTGCGCATGATCCATCGGCGTGTGGACATGCCCTGGTACCCATCAATCCAAACAGAATCACCATCATTGCTTCGTAGATAGCTATTAGTTAAGCAAACGCTAAGGCCGACAATCCTTACAGAAAAATATGTAGTACAATTCCAAAGGCAGACAGGAACTTGACTCAGCTCTGCTCTTGCAACTGGTGCGGTCCCAGACGTACTGGTCATTCTGTTTCTGGATGTAACCAGCGAGACGAACAGAGGATTCTGCCGTGTGGGCAACCCAGTTTCTCCTTAACTCTTCTTAGGGGGTGCGGACTGGAGAGAAAACTTCAGCTTCATTTCGGTGTAGAAAAAAAAAACGGGAATGACAGTTACCGGTTATGTCAAAGCTCAGTTTGCGAAGAGCTAGACGCCGAGAGTGGTCGTTCCCGACAATGAGGGGAGGGGGGGTATTAACTTCACTGGACAGCTACCGCCTGCCTCCAACTGAGCAGTCCTCGGTCAGTAAGGTGCTGTTTCGCCACTGGCCGCCTGCCTATCAGGGTGCGTAGGGCTAAGGACCCCTTTGACAAATGGACAGTAGCTTTTGCATCATGGAACATAATAATACCCCCCCCCCCCCCCAAAGCAGCATTTATGTTAGGGTACTGGAAGGTCAGGACCATGATGACAGGCCTATAATATAACATCTAATCCATATCAAACATGCACAAAACTGTAGAAGTTACTTCGACTTTAAAAGTATACCGGTATATAGCAAGAGACCCCTCTTCACGATTCAGGGAACCTCAAAGAGTCATATTACACCTTTTGGCAAGGAAAGAAAGCAGATGCACAGCGCGATTTTGGCTTTGCTGTGCGAAACAAACGTCTGGATAAAGTCAAGCTCGGTCATACAGCAACTGACCGCCTTATGCATGCTTCTGATCATGATGGTTCAATCAACTTTCCTATGCGTCAACACTTGCAGCTTCAGATGAATCGAAATATTTTACGCCAAACAGTTTGCGAGATGGATGGATCAATACTCCGAGTTCTACTCTACAGAGAACACAGTAAGCCAGCTAGGCTGCTCTTGAAGACACCAAACGCCTTCCAATTTTGTTAGACGATCCACCATCCTTAGAGGACGTCTCCAAAGCAGTACATAAACTTCCATCAGGAAAGGCTCCAGGCAAAGACTGCATACCAGGGAAAGCAATGAAAAGTGGCAAGTCGTGTCTTTTAATACCATTGCACAAGCTACTGCTTAAGTGTAAGGAAGACAAAGGATGCCAACATCATCAACCTCTACAAAAATAAAGGTTACCACAGCGATTGCAACAACTGCATAGGAATTTTACTCCTTAGCATTGTTGGCAGACTGTTTGCATGTACATGTATCATCCTGTAACGATTCGGTGAAAAGAATAAACTCATAATCGCAGTCTAAAATGTTCACCGTCGACATGATCTTCTCGCAACGCCAATTAAAAAAGTACAGAGAACAGAACATTGTTACCCACTTTATCTTGCGTTCATCGATTTGACCAGGCGTTCGACCTGGTAAGCAAAGAAGGCCTTTTCAAGATGCTACCTCTTACTGGCTGGCCAACTAAACTGCTGAGCTTAGTAAAGTTAATTTTCATGAGCATCGTGAATTCAAAACGACATCTGAGACGAGTTTGGGGTTAAAATAGGAATAAAACAAGGCTGTGTACCAGCCCCCAGGCTTTTTGGCATCTTCTTCGCTCTTCTGCTGAAACATGCTTTCAGGTCATCAAATGATGGTATCCACCTTTACACAAGATCAGATGGCTGCCTCTTTAACATC